CCATGAACTCGCAATACCCTACCCAGTACCAGAGCAGTCTCCGCCGAACCCCGACCTCGTCAACGAGCTCTACCACTGGCACGCCGAACCGCTCCAACAGTGGCGCCCTCCGTCGCTCCTCGTCCACCCGCTCCGGCGGCAACTCGCCCACCTCGTACGTTGCACTCATGCGGAAACAAAAGGCTACTGTGTGGTGTGACCGGGCCCAATACGAGGACCCCCGCATGCTTGCACAGCAACGGCAGGCTAAGATGCGGGCAAACATGGAGGTAGCAGGCGGACCCCACCACGTTCCCCCGCGAAGTGCTTCAGGAGGATCTAGCATGACCGGCGGTGTGCGGTCCAAGATTGGGCGTCACCACGGTCTGCCAAAAGCATCGCTATATGCACCTGTCACGTATGCAGGGTCTGGTGTTCCTATGCGCCTCAGTGCTTCCGAAGTAGACGAGGGCGACGACGAAGACGCAGGTTCAGTCAAGAATGGCCAGTACCACCACCGCACAGGTTCAGGCCGTTCCTCGCTCGGTTCAGGACGACGCATGTCCTACGCCAACCCCACCGGCCGCATATCCTCTAACAGCACTCCCCCGCTAAACTCATCCCCGGACGGCGAGCTCGCCGACCTCAAAGAAGAGCCCACCCCTTCACCAGCCGAATACGACGTCAACGCGCCCAACGACAACAGCTACTTCCAACATACCAAGACCAACACAAGCACAGGCAGTGGCAGTAGTGGGGAACGCAACTTTGGCGACGTGGGGCAAATGCCAGCGCCTGGAATGTTGAAGCCACCCGCTGCGACAGATAAGAAGGGCAGTAAGGATGACCTGGTTCGAAGAGGCAGTGTGGACGAGCGGACCATGACCATGGGGACGAGGCTCTTCGTCGCAAACCCCGATCTTAGCGATTGAAATCACGCATACCCAACAAGCGCGTATGGATGAGAGGTTACCTTTTCTGCGATACCCGAAACATCGATTTTATTTTGCCACTAGCACCACAGCACACGATTACCACATACACAAGACCACGATTCACCGCTTTCTCTTTTTACCTCTCGAAGCATGTTTAGCATTTCACGGCCTTGTCTATGGCACGTTTCCAAGAGCAACTATACGGTGTTTTCTTGTTTGGATGGCACATGCATTTTTCCCTATGTTGCTCATGTCTCTTTTTTTTCTTGGCGGATTCCTCAGTCTTGAGCGTGCAGAGCGATTGCCCTGGAGGCTCTCGCGCGTTCGATACTCGACATGTAGTATCTGTAAATAAGTACCACATCATACCCGCCGCCAGCTGAATGCGAGCATTGAATACAAGCACGAGTAATCGTTCATCCCCGAGTTCACAATGATCCCATGCCTACATCGCCTCTACATCACCTCGCGATTTCCTCACTCATGCTGATCTTCATTTCCCTCTAGCATGTATGCCTCTCAGACGCAAGTCCACGTATGCGATCAATGAAGTCATGGCTCCATCAAGCTCATCGTCGATGCAGAACTTCGGCCTCGGATCCTCCCTCATCCCGCGATGCGACGATTGGCGACCTGTGCGTCACATTGCGCACGAAACTTTGAAAGGGGGCGGGAATGTAAGCCTTGCGTGAGCCGAGTGGTCAGCTTTTTGTCGATCGCGCGCTTCGCCGCGGGAGTGCCTGCCAAGACTGCTGTGCGGCTGTTGAGTCAGGGGCGACAAAGGGCAAGCAAGTGGCTGCATGTGTGATAGGGAAGATGGTAGATCGGGAGCGCGCGCGAGTTTCGAAGAAGTAGGGGATGCTGGGACAGTCGTTGCCATGCGTCTTTGCAGTGGCTTCAAAGTTTGGACTATGGACGTGGCAGGGATGTGAGGACCCGCGTTCAGGGTCTATGGAATTGTTGAAGCAGAAAGTTTGCGAATGCGAACGACGCATCGCATCCAGACAGTCTGAATGCAAATGTCTACTAGTTCATGAGAGTAAAGTTGATCTGCGCTGCACATCCACTCTCTTTCACGTCCCAAGGTTGATTAGCAAGACCGCGCTTGCCTCTACTCATGCATGCTTGCCAAGACGTCCGACCCGGAGTGCTCGACCCCAGCACGAGGCCATGTCACCCCCATCACGCCTTCCCGGTACGAGTGGAGGGGCGTAGGACAACATTGAAGACTTCGCAGACTGGAATCCAGGATGTCGCACGTTAATGGCACGACTAACGGCGCAGCAAAGCGCAGCGCAAGCCAGAAGATACTGAACGACGCGGTGGGCGTGACCAAGAGCCACGAGGGAGATGAAAAGACAGATTACACAAGATGGAGGCTCAAGGACGACCGAGGATGTCAGACATGGCACTATCTGCAAAGCGACGAGGAAATGAAGTTGTGGCCGCAGAGTACAGCGGACAAGTACTTCCTAGGCCTCGACACGGTGCGTGTGCACCTCTTCTGACCGTGCAGACACCAGTAACTGACGTGGACCTCAGGAACAACCAGCCCTTGCATCCGCAAAGACCCCCCTTGAAGCTGCGCACAATGGCCTCACGTTCTTCTCCCAACTCCAACTCCCACCTGGCAACTGGGCTTGCGAATACGGCGGTCCCATGTTCCTCCTCCCCGGCCTCGTAGTCACTTGGTATGTCACCGAGACACCGATACCAGCGTCGCATGCGATCGAGATCAAGAACTACCTCTTTGCCCGCGCGAATCCAGAAGACGGCGGCTGGGGGCTACATATCGAGGGAGAGAGTACCGTGTTTGGTACGGCAATGAACTATACCGTCCTCAGGCTGCTTGGCGTCGACGCAGAAGACCCCAGAATGCGGAAGGCGCGGGACACACTTTGGAAGCTAGGTGGCGCGCTCAACGGTCCGCATTGGGCAAAGTTCTGGTTGAGCGTGTTGGGTGTGACGGAATGGGACGTTGTCAACCCCTGTCCACCTGAGCTGTGGCTGCTGCCAGACTGGGTCCCTATCGCGCCGTGGAGGTGGTGGATACATATGCGACAGGTCTTTCTGCCCATGTCCTACGTCTACTCCAAGAAGTGGTCATACCCGCTTAATGACCTTACACGTCAACTGCGGGCCGAACTGTTGATGGAGCCATTTGAGAACATCAACTTTGGCGCACGGCGGAATACCATTGCCCCGACGGACAACTACCATGCGAAATCTTGGATGCTCAAGGTCCTCTTTTGGTTCATGGCCGCTATATGGTTCCCATACATCAGGCCCACTTGGATGGTGAAGCGGGCTGAAGAGCATGTATGGTGGCTGATCGAAGCCGAGGATGAGAACACCGACTTCGCCAATCTGGGTCCTGTCAACGGTCCCATGAACATGTTGGCTGCTTACATCAAAGAAGGACCCAAGTCCCATGCTGTTCGCGAGCATCTCAAGACACTTCCGGAGTTCCTCTGGGTAAAGGATGAAGGCATGCTTATGAACGGTACAAACGGTGTACAGACGTGGGACACCGCGTTCCTTATCCAAGCTGTTGACTCTTGCGGCTGGTCAAAGGATACGAAATGGAAGCATATGCTCACGAAGAGTCTTGAGTTCCTAGAAGACCAGCAGATTCTTGAGGAAACCAGAGACCAGCATGCATGCTACCGTCAACAACGCAAAGGTGCCTGGGGCTTCAGTACACGAAAGCAGGGCTACACAGTCAGCGACTGTACATCCGAGGGTCTCAAGAGCACACTTATCCTCCAGAGGGATAACGCATTCCCTGAACTTATCAACGAACGCCGCGTGAAAGATGCCATCGACGTCCTGCTGACTATGCAGAACGCTTCTGGTGGCTGTGCTTCTTATGAGCCGACACGGGGTAGCGTACTCCTTGAACATCTCAACGCAGCAGAAGTCTTCGGCAACATCATGATCGAGTATGACTACCCTGAATGCACAACCGCTGTCGTGACCGCCCTCGACATGTTCCAACATCATTACCCTGATTACCGTGCCGCGGAAATCTCTGCCTTCCGTGACCGCGCGGTGGCATACATTCGCGCCGCCCAACGCCCAGATGGATCTTGGTACGGCAGCTGGGGTATCTGTTTTACCTATGCCGGCATGTTTGCTCTTGAGTCACTCAAGTGCTCTGGAGAGCAGTACAGCAACTCTGAACGTGTGAGAAGGGCGTGTCAGTTCTTCCTAGACAAGCAAATGGAAGATGGAGGCTGGGGCGAGACGTACAAGAGCTGTGAAACCGGTGTCTGGCAGCAGCATCCGCGCAGTCAGGTTGTGCAGACTGCTTGGGTAGTCATCGCAATGATTGAGGGCGGGTTCCCACACAAGGAGCCGCTCGAGAGGGCTGTTAAGCTCATCATGCAGAGGCAGCAAGCCAACGGAGAGTGGTTGCAGGAGGCTATTGAGGGAGTGTTCAATAAGTCTTGGTAAGTCGGCACATGGTTGACTGATCACGAACGGTGGCTAACTTGATGACAGTATGATCTCTTATCCGAACTACAAGTTCATCTTCCCGATCAAGGCGCTGGGAATGTATGCGAAGCACTTTGGCGATGATGCAGTGCTCTGAAGAAGTTCATACGAACCCAGTTCTGCAGTTGGTAATCTTGAGAGTGAGGATGATTGAATGTAGGCGGAGTTGTAAACACCAACTCAATAATACTAATACCACGATCAAGCTCCTGTATATGCAGGGAGCAGACAAAATGATTTGCGACGTGACTCTGGTGTTACCACATCACTTACCATTGTGGTATTATCTTTTTTATGAGCTTGGTCATCATGCGGTACTATAACTTCTTTGAAACTCACGCATCTCCTGCGACAAACAATAGCTGGGTCTCGCTTGAGACCGCACTTTGCGCATACAAGATCACTCTTCGGTGTTTCCCTCCATCCCCGCAAATAAAACTACATCACTACCACTAGCCACTTTGAGCGCGCCAACAACAAACCGATTGGTACCTGTTGCTACCAGAACTATGAGTATAAGTATATCTGGAAATCCCGTCTGAAAGACCTTTAGAAGCACCGCGAATAGCTCAGCTTTGTACTCACCAGATGGATCGAACGCACACCGATCGGCAAGACGGCGGTGATGGCCTCCCACCTAGCCGAACAGAAGACAACGATCCTGTCGACGAGGGCGAAGATCACTCCAGTAATCCAGCCCGTCGGGGAGGCGGCCCCGGTCGCGCTGGTCGAATGAACACAATCTCAGAAGAACCACCTTTGACTGGCCATGACCAAGGACAGGATACGAACAACACCGCAGAAACAACACGATCTCGCCTCGAGCGCAGGGCTGCCGAAATCCGCGAGGCCAACCGCCGACGCAGGGCGCATGGTCAGACAAACTCGGACACCTCTGGAAACACGCCTTATACGCAGGGGGTTGGCCGTCCGTTGGAGAGAGGTGAGAGTTTTCTCGATCCCGACATGTCTCGCGCGCGTTCTAATGCGATATGCCCTGGTTTTTCACCGAGGCCGGAAGACGTGGAGAGACACAGAGCGAACTTGGAGAGAAGGGCATGGATTGCCGCGGGTAGAAACTCTGGGCCAACGGAAGAGAGGGAGAGGAACGGGATCAACAGACGCCCGACAACTTATCAATTTCGGGCTCATGAGGGATTTCCTCCCAACGGCACGGGGACGCGGGGGTTGTATGCTGGACGATACCCCATCCCATACGTGAATCCAGCTACTGGACGAGCGCTTGTGGGAACGGGCGGTTACACACCTTTTGGCAGCGGCAACTTCCAAAGCAGTGTTCCAGGCCAGTCATCTCATGACGATGGTAGAAACGCCGCTGTCTACGACCCTGGCAGCTTTGAGGATACGGATCAATTCTACGTCGAGCCGGCTCCTAAGCCCGAGAACGTCGATCCTAAGGCTATGGTGTCCCAGCCGGAGGGTAAACCTGAGGGTGACTCCAATCCTCCCAAACGCAAGGATGAACCGGATGATAAGCAGAGTGGAGGAAGAGGGCCAGGCGCGCCTGGACAGGCTACTTGAGAGGTGCCTCTTGTTGGTTATGGAACGGCGTAGTTATTTAGTTAGAGATGTACATGGAAGCAGAGGGTGTGGCATGGGGTAAGCAGGTCGTCGGTGAGGTAGGTGGGTGGGACAGGTTTAATAGCTTCGAGGGGTTTCTAGAGGGAGTGGATTTCAAGCAGTAGACAACAAGGAGATACTCATAGTAACAGCAGCATAGAGAGGCTCCTGACGTGGGTGTGGATGACCTTAGGAGCTCTTCGACAGCTTACAGGATCCCTGATAGCTGAATCAAACGACAAGAGCACTGGCAATTGACATGCAGCTCGCAACTTTGACAGTCCGGTTGCTCTTGCACTTTGGTGACGCGTGAGGTGAGATGAGGGGAGAAGCACAGCATTAACCTAATACGTATTAGCGTCAGCGCCGGCCGATTAGGCACGCTGCGATCTCGTCACCATCTGGGCAGTCATGACCGTCAAATACTTTGCTGCAGCACAGGGAGACATTGGTAGCAGACTAGTCATCACTGCGACACCACCTGGGCAGCCCACAAATCTGGAGAGGAACCCGACAACAAGGTCTCGCCATTGGCAATATCGACTGAGTCTTGCGCTATTGTGGTCGAAGAACGCGTTGGGCTATGGCTGCACTTCTAGCACCGGTAAAATCACACGCCTATGTTCGGTAGGTACTACCCCGCTGGAGCGGCCCCGCAGGACTCCACGTGCTGTACGATGAACCTGCGTGAACATCTCTGGGTGCTGGCGGTGCACGACGTATCTTCGTTTCCAGACATTGCACATGCTCACGGACCCTTTGGGCCTTGTTGATCTAACATGACTTCCAATTCAACCATTCCACACCTCCGACAACATGAAAACACCAAGCAACTCATTGTTGATGGCAAACCATACCTTATGTTGGGCGGAGAATTGCAAAACTCGTCGCTTTCGTCTGCCGAATACATGAGCGAGATCTGGCCCAAGATGGTCGCAACCAATGTCAATACTCTACTTGGCTCTGTCAGTTGGGAGATGATCGAGCCTGAAGAGGGCAAGTTCGACTTTGAAGAGCTGGACAAAGTTATACTGGGCGCTCGAGAACACGGCTTGCACTTGATCTTGTTATGGTTCGGATCTTTCAAAAATGGTATGTTGGTATATCTTCGCGGCCTCTCTCCACACCCTGACACGTACATGGCTAGGCAGATCAACGTACACCCCATCATGGGTGAAGACGAATCCAAAACGCTTCCCTCGTGCCGAACTTAGAAAGGCGGGAGGCGTGATTGAGGTTGCGGATGTGCTGTCCCTTTTCAATGAGGAGAACGTTGAAGCGGACGTAAAAGCATTCCGAAAGTTGCTTAGTCACCTCAAAGAGGTAGACGAGAAACATAGTACTGTGTTGATGGTGCAAGTCGAAAACGAAGTCGGCCTGTTGTTTGACAGTCGCGACGGAAGTGGCGAGGCCAACAGAGTCTTCTCCGGACCGGTGCCCGCAGAACTTCTCCAATTCTTGAGCCGCGATTACGATCAATTACATCCTGATCTAAAAGCCAACCTCAGGACCTTTGTCGCACGATCGAAGCCACAATCTGGCACTTGGGAAGAAGTGTTCGGCGTCGGTAGCAGGACTGACGAGCTCTTCATGGCATATCATTATGCACACTACGTGAACCGTGTAGCAGCAGCTGGAAAAGCAGAGTATCCCATTCCGCTATACACTAATGTATGGCAGAACTATGCGGGAGATGATGCCGATAACGACACCCCCATTGTAGTTGGTGGTGGTGGTCATCCAGGAGATTACCCGTCAGGTGGCGGCACAGTCAATGTCCTCGATATTTGGCTGCAATTCGCACCTGACCTCGAATTCATCGCGCCCGACATCTACCTTAATGAGTACACTAGCTTATGCGGCAAGTACCGACATTGTGGAAATACTCTCTTCATCCCGGAACAGCGAAGAGATGAGTACGGCGTTCGGCGCATCTGGATAGCGTACGGAACATTCCAGGCTCTTTTAGCCAGTCCCTTTGGCATCGATACTTTGGAGCCGGAAACCAATCCTTACACAAAGCACTACGGGCTGCTATCACAAGTCTCTCAAATCGTACTGGAAGCGCAACGTAACCCGGGCTCGTCGGTGGGTTTTTGTTTTGACGAATTCACCGGCGACAAAGATCCGTCGAAACCCATCAAGCAGCGTTTTGGCGATTGGGATATCACTATTGAGCGTTCTTTCGTTTTTGGCAAGCCCGGGACCGGTAGCGGCATGGTCATTCATCGTGGCGGAGCACGCTTTTTACTTATTGGTTGGGGCTTTCAAGTGATGGGTCACTCGACTAGGGCTGACACGAAGTTTAACGGCATTCTGAAGAACGAAGAAAAGGTCGTGGAAGACATAGCGACAGGAAAGTTACGGACACTGAGGAACTTAGGTGGCGATGAGACAAGGAGTGGAGCCAACGCGATGATGCCGAATGAGGATCCTGACTATGGAGGATTCCCCATCGCTATAACAATTCCGGCCAGAACGGGTATCGCTGAGGTGGAATTCTACTCTTTTTAAGCTTTAGTACTAGATGAACTCGGTGTCGTTAGAGGACGATTGGGCATTTCTCATAAAAGAAGAGATCAACACCAATGGTGACCGGCGCTGGGCGCCTAAAAGGGAGCGCGGCAGGTTAAGATTACGAAGGAATCTGGCCCCTGGGCATAAGGTGCGACTCACTTTTCTATCAATACATTCAATGAGCGACGCTATCGTCTGCGTTCTTCAAAACAGCTTCCAAAATCTTACCTGAAGATGGCCCGTTCTTCTTGGTGTTTAGTTACTGCCTTGGCTGCCTGCCGATCAGCCTTTGCTCAGACCGCGGCAACGGCTCTCGCGTCCTCCACGCCCGCATCATCAGCCCAAATCCAAGCACCAACATCAAACCTTCCAGCTCTCGAAATCGACGTCATCTCTCCTCGCGAAAATGAAACGTACGACTTTACCTCATCGTTACCCATCGTGTTCGCATTCCAGAATTTGACCGCGGCCGCTGAGCTTGGCCCCTTCACTTTTGCATGGGATATCATGCAAGTAATTGCCTATTTACGAACTGCATGTGAGACAAACACTGACTTCGTACACCCATCTTCAGGCCGTATCACACCATCGATGACCCAATACCAGGAGGTGTCATAGAGGATCAATGGTCGATAGGCTTTACTTCGGATAATGCATCCACGTTTACAACGTCTGATGGATCGCCATATGTCCTTGTCAACCACACGAATCCTAGGGATTGGGTCCATGGACCAAACTATGGAGGAAATGCATACTCATTGAGGTGGTACATCCTGTGGGGTGACGTGAATAAAGGATGCGACCACCCTCGGCCTGACATTGGTGTTTCGCATGACACAAAACTTCTCTTTACGCTTCTTCCAGCGTGGCCTAACGAGTGGAAGGCGCCCGAGGCAACTACCTTCGGGAATGTTACAGGCAATTGTGCGCAATTGGGCACTTTCGCTATGATTGACGCAAATGAGTCGGACTTGTGTTCGCTGGATCAGCTACAGTGGGGAGATGGGAACCCATGTGCCATCAAGCCTGATGGGCCTATGGTAACAAGCATGTCCAGTGCAGTGGCGAGCTTGTCTTCTGCGCAAAGCGTGGCTACTGCGACTCCAACTACTACCGAATCGTCTACTGCGTCGAACGTGGCGTTCGCAACAGGTGTGCCAATTCAGCCAGCGCTCGCTGCGGCCTTCGTTGTTGGCGGATGGGAGCTGTTCCCGCTGTAGGCGTGTTATCGTACACAATGTTACATTTCTGGTGTTTCATATTACTATCTCGAGGGTCGACCTTCAGCCCAAAATTCGGTCGTAATCATGAGCGTATGCAGCAATGCGTCAGGAGCTCAAACTGCTTGCTCATAGGTGCATCCAATGTGCGTAAGGCAAAGGATATGCGGGTGTTTGCCTGCTTTTCTATGCGCTTATCAACCCTGGCATTGCTGCCTGCGCAGTGTGTACAGCCCCGCCGCCTTTCAAGACGCATCACTAAGGGACACCACATCTTAGCATGCCCAACGTCAGAACATATGACAGCTATCGTTCCGATGGCTTACTTCCCGTTCTTAGCATTACCCCCAGAATTGCGCATTATGATTTACTCATATTTCCTACCTACGAGCGATGGCAAAAAGCCTTTTCAACTTCTGGGCAAACAGCCTTTCGTCGGCCTCCGCCGGACTTGTCGAATAATCAAACATGAGATCGACTATGAAGCCTTGAGACGCTCGTGTCGCCTCATTCGGCGTGCAAATCCAAACTACACTTTGTCAGTCGGTGCTCTGGACATGCGACACATGAACATGGTCATACGAAACGAGGCCGAGCAGCCACGGCGGAACTTTGACACTCTGAATTTATCATGGTGGGAATATCTGCCCAAGTACTCAAGAGTTGATATCGTATACGAGTCCTGTGGACAGCGCAGCATCGATGACCCGGCATTTACCTCAATTTGTCGGGTTATCGCTAAACCATTCAGGAGACCTCGTATAGCTCAGAGCCTCCCAGCCCCATTTTGCGTCAAATTCCAAAAGCCTGGGGAAAATCTCGCTTCGTGGTGAGACAATTGGGTTCTTTCATTCTTTCGTCCTCGAAGAGATGCGACAGAGTACATGTCAACAACAGCAAAGTACTACGGTATGGATGATTCACTCACAGCCTGCGAATGGGAGAATTCCACAGATATGTTTGCGATGCTACCTTTTGTATTCCTGGTTCTGGCGATACTGGTGGGTTTTTTGGTGTCCGGCTTGTATCTTGCATTCGTTGTGGCACTTTTTGTACACGATGTCTTCATGAGCATACTCTCACCGATCTTGGTCAGAGTCAGCGTCAGTTGAGCTGATGATAGTTTGTCGATCATGAAGGAAGGGATGTTTTGATTCACAGAAAAGACTACACGATGGCACACAGGTTAGGAATCAAAGCTGTGCAAAGAGTTTGTGTGATTGCAGCTGGGCTTGTCGGTTGAGACTGCCATCTGTCATACTACCATGTTCATTGCTATCACTTCGTGATCATCTCTCATTCCTTAACAGTCCCTCTGTTCGTGATATCACTCATCTCTTTCTCATAGTCGTGTACTTATTCGAAATAATCCCAGACCTAATCCGACCAGATCTTGACCCTATTTGCGAATGATCGTCGGCTAGCTTAAGCTGAAGTGCTCGCCTATAAAGCATTAGCTAAGTTGGAAACGAGAGTATGTGACTTTACCTTCTAGGGCGTCGGGGCTAGAAGGACCGCCGCACATGCCGCCTGACAGGTGCCGAAAGCACTGTTGCAAGCCACTATAGTGGCAGGAGCCGTGGCACCCGCTGTGGCACCCCAAGTCGCGCCTCCTGCAGCGTAACATGCCATGACTACGGCAGAGCAGCCAGCCTGGCAGATGCCATATCCAATTGGACCTGCTGAGGCCATGGGAGTGAGCGCGAGGAAGGTTGCCGCCGCCAAGATGGGAATGACGGAGATCTTCATTGTGAATGTTGTAGTGGCTGTTGTTGAATCTGTGATGGACTTAGCGACGATCGGCGGACATTCTGAGAAGCTGAACTTACTGGCTAGTTGTTCAGAGTGTGCTGTAGCTGGTGTAGAGACTAATGGCGGGGTTGTAGTCTGATGAGCGCTTGATAAAGACCTGCTGCACATCCTTTTCATTGGCCTATTTGGGTTACACAACAGCTTGCCACGTCATTTCACCGGTCACCCATCCCCTCACGTCCATAGAGAAGACGAGCGATATGAAATGACAAAGAGAACCTCTTCATGCCTGGTCATTGATGGAAAGGAACTTGCTGCCAGAGCTTCCAATGTGGCCGCAAATCTCGCACATCGTTACTAACATGTCATATGCTTCCAAGGTCCAGTCAAGGGCTTTAAAGTGCCGATAGTAACGTGGAAATGACCCTTTCCTTACGAGATGGCAAGATTTGCTTCAGCCGAAGTCAGTCAGCAGTGAAGGCATCTACTGCTGCTGCACTTAGATTTGAAGTAAGCGCAGACTGGAGTTTGATCAGCAGCCCTGAAAGCGGTCTACGACAGATGGCTTTGAATTGGAAAAGTATCAATCTCAGGAACCCGCATCAGCAATCGACGGAACTCCCAGGCCATTTCAGTATGTCTGAGTACACATGAGCTATAGGGATGGATTACAAACTGCCCATCTCACTACTGCACCATACCGAGCAGTCTTCATTAACTCACCGGCGACCTAGTAGCAGCGTCACCTCTACCCCATCGAGGTGGTTACCGCAGGTGAGATTGAAACGATCTAAAGACTTGTTGGGCACTCATGTTCCTCTTTCTGAAAGAGGAGATAGGTCGCACATTGGCAGTATGAAGATCATGCGTCAGCCAACCAGATGTGCGGGGTTTAGGCAACAGCTTCCAGAGTCGGTGTATATGACCGCTGCAACTCCATAAATTGGAGCACCCTATCAATTCACAACTCATTCCTGGATGCGGAGCGACTGAATATGGCACCAAAGGAAAATAGCCAGTCGTCCTCATCTTTCTTCAGACTACCTGCTGAGATCCGCGTCTCAATGTACGAGCTTCTGGACTTTCCGCCTGTTGACAATGAACAATGTCGTGGACTGATTTTGTCGTGTCGACAAGCAAAGCGCGAGTGCGAAGGAGTCTCGATCCGTGCGACAAAAAGCTGGTTGCTGGCTTACAAGAAGATTGTCCATCCAAAAAGCGACCTAGGGGTGCGCATCTTGCTACCTGTCGCAACGAGAACGCCTACTGGAATGCATGCTAAGTTCCACACGCTTCGGCATCTGACATTAGTGATTCCTGGACGTGCAATCCATGGCTGCGCTGACCAGCGCCGAGAGTTCTTTGAGAGTTTCCGACCCTTAAACGCCATCTTCAGCTTGTGGCTCGATAGCCTAACGATACAATTCTCGGGCCCGGTCGGAAAGAGCAGCGAAGGATACGGGATGTGTGGATCAATTACCGAGTGTTTTAGACGCCTTTTCTTCATTCTGGAGAGCGGCTTGACGTATGCGCATGATCCTGTCGGCCAGAGAGGCAATCTCAAGCTCAACAAGTACCGCTCCCTGGTGAAGTACTGGCAGCCGCAACCAGCCTGGATTAAGAAACTGGTGGTTTCATGGGATCTGACTGAGGAGGGTTTGCGGAGCGAAGATTTGGTGGCGGTCGATGGTCACTGCAGGAAGCGTACAACGGCGGCTTGTCCCGGGTTGCGGAAATACCATGTCGCCAGCGAAGATGGCCTCCTTGGATCGGAGTCAAGGGAATCTTTCTGTCGATTTCGCCCATCGGAGCCGGAAGATCGAATGGCGGGCCCGAGTATCGAGCACAAAAAGCAATGTCTCAAGTGTGCATGGCGTGGATGGGAATACCGTCGCTACATCCGGGGTTTGCCGGTCGAGAATGACGAACGCTGGCTTTAGGAGCCATCGCGGAACAACCACGATAACACAGCCGAAGATGTGTGGAAGACCTGGGGTCGTGCTGTTGAAAGTCCGAAGATCCCGCTGGGAGCCGCGCGATCTGGGCGATCCAGGGGCATCCACTAACACCCAAACCAGTAACAAGCGACGCGGGCTTATCAGGCACGATCAAACCTCATTGAACGATCACTGCTACGACTTTCGTGTCTACGTCATGTTTGGAAGTATCGCCGGTCTTCGGATCAAAAGATATGGGGAAGCGCTGCACGCTCTCTCCTTTTGGATCTCTTGGATCGCGCAACCATGTGTGGCATCACTTGTGCGGTCGCATTGCGGGGTCATGGACCGTTAGCGAAGGAACGTGGAGAGTTGAGCAAAACATTGCAAAAGAGTCTGGATACCATCAAGCATCGTGGACCTGATGCAGATGGTCATTGGATCAGCGAAGATTGTCGCGTGGGTACGTCAAGAAATGACTACGGGTGCAAGGAGAACACGTGACTAACATCCTGATCATCTAGCTCTTGGGCACAACAGATTAGCGATCGTCGACTTGAACCCAGAAGGAGAACAACCATTCCACGATGCAGACAATGATATTCACGCTGTAGTCAACGGCGAGCTGTACGGCTATGAAGAGATTCGGGATCGCCTTAGTGCCGAAGGCTACAGGTTTAAGAGCCAGTCAGACTCTGAGATTGCACTGGCGCTTTACAAGAAGCATGGTCTATCGTTCCTTCCGCACTTGCGTGGAGAGTTCTCACTATGCCTATATGATTCCAAGTCTCAGGTCTTCATTGCCGCATGCGATCGCTATGCCATCAAGCCCATGTACTACACAATTTTGGACGGCAAGTTGCTGGTATGGCCGCTCTTCACTCGTCGCAAATACTTCGAACTGACAACCACTGGGTAGATCGCTTCCGAAATGAAAGCATTTCTTCCCTTTGGATGGGAACCTGAGTGGGACGTGCAGAGCATCAAAGACGTGGGCTGGCTGTGCGATGGAAGAACCATCTTCCAAGGAGTTTCGAAGATACTGCCTGGTCACTACCTCGTCTGCAGATCGTTCAGCACCATCTCGCAAGACAAGTATTGGGACGTCGACTTCAAAGACAAGGTATGTGCTATGGCGTGTGCATCACAAAATCGCTGACAAGCTTAGCGTGAAATCGAAACGAGAGGTGAAGATGAGATGATCCAGGGTGTCCGAAAACACCTTGTTGATGCTGTGCGAGATCGACTTCGGGCGGATGTACCAATCGGAGTATTCCTGAGCGGCGGCATCGACTCAAGCGCAATAGCAGGCATGGTCAAGCATCTGATGGACACTGAAGGCGCACAGCTTGGCACAGCTCCAGCATCAGAGCGGATCAACTGCTTTAGCGTCAAGTTTATCGGTGAAGAACACGATGAAGAGCCGATCGCACGTCGCACAGCTGAATGGCTAGGAGTCAAGATGCATCACTGCGAGATGACCGAGGAGAACTTTGCCGCCAACATCGAGAACGCAGTCTGGCACAACGAAGCAGCAGTAACTGATCTAGGCACTGTTGGCAAGTTCTTGCTTTCGAAACTTACCAGCGATGAAGGTATCAAGGTCGTCCTCACTGGAGAAGGATCAGATGAACACTTTGCGGGATATCGGGAGCTCCTTACGGATTTCGTTCGCGAACCAGATCTATCAAGACCAAATTCCGGAGTTCCGGAAGAAGAGCGCATGGCAACACTCAAGAGCTTAGAGGGCTCAGAGACATCAGGTCCAAAGGAACTTGCGACATCGGCTGCCATTCGTGCCCAGGTAAACAACACTTCTTTCCTTGGTTTTACGCAGACCGCTTCTCTCCGTGACCCGCTCTTTGCGCCTTGGGTTTTCAACGAGTTTGGACAGAGCGACAAACGTCTTACGGCCGTGAACGCTGTCGATGGCCGTACCCGCGAGCTTATGGCCAAAAAGTGGCATCCGCTTCATACATCGCTGTACATCTGGATCAAGTCCTCTCTCGCAAACGGCCTACTTACCGTACTAGGCGACCGCTGCGAGATGGCCCACAGTGTCGAAGGCCGTCAGCCCTTCCTCGATCATCGCTTAACGGAATATGCGATGAAGCTTCCGCCCTCTGTAAAGCTGCGCTACGACCCTCAAACTCGCAGTTTCAGCGAGAAGTGGATTCTCAAAGAAGCCATGAAACCATTCATCACGCCTGAACTCTACGCTCGCAAAAAACACCCCTTCTCTGCTCCAGTGAAGTACAAACCCGATGGCCCTGTCCACCAGTTGTTCCAGAGACTGATCACGAAGGAGAATGTCGAGGCTCTTGGGTTTCTGGAGTGGGACAAATGCAAGGACCTGTTGCATGATGCGATATACGATGGTGATAGGCCAAAATGGAGTCAAATGATTCTGGTGGGTCAGTTTGTGATTCTAGGCAAGAGGTTTGGAGTCAAGAAGGCTGCGCCGGAGTTTACTACGCCAGGGGCGAACGGGGCGATGAGATAGTCTTGGGTGCTACAGTATGTAGCGCTCTGCACCAATATATCCTGTTCGGTTGCAAAACTGCTTTGGGGGTAAAAGACTCGCTTACTATACGAAACACTATGAGTACTAGAGCCTGGCGTCGCCTTTAGTTCCTGCTTCTTCATTCTCTTAGTTATATTTGATACCATTCCAGCAGACCTGAACTGGTACAGAGCCCCTGTCTTGATCCTCTTTCCTCGTTTCGTCCCACACGTCTTGTATCAAGGACTCGCACATGCCTCCACCAAAGTAATAATGAATCTCACCCAGACGCACCATGCCAACGGAGTTCCGTCGGTTGGTAGCGTAAAATAGCGATGTGTCTGCATAGAATCTTGATTTATGGGGATCGAAAAGGTTGGTATCCGCATGGAAAGGCGGTATATCGCTTTCGAACGCCATGGTATCGAGTGAGCCATCTACCTCTACAACATAGAACCGTTTTCCAGCCAGTACTTGCGGAGAGCCTGTAGCTGGCTCTGAAGTTGTGGCGTTAATGGCACGCAGCTTGTTGGCATCTTGTGAGAGAAGAACGTCTATCACAGCGGGCTTGCGGTGTGGCATATCTTTTGATGTGACACCTCAATTGCAAAGTTCTTTCTTGAGTTGGTAGGTTGGGACGCTCTCGTATTCATCCTCGCGAGTACGGCTGCGATAATCCCACGAGATAGTAATGTCGTTGTTATGAAACGAGCACGGTGTGATACCCATCCTGTGGGGATTTTTCCAACTCTTTTCCACCAGGCATAATAGCATTAGTACGGCAGCTTCTGTCAGATCTTTCGGGCTATCCGGTGTTTGTTCACCAGTGTAATGAAGAGCAATACTCTCGATCTCAATACAGAGCAAGTCCTCGAGACCAGTGCGAGGACAGCAATCCTGGCGAAGGTCGAGTATGTGAACAGGTGCGTTGGTGATCAGCGTCAATTCTGTCAGTCCAATAAAGTCTTCCATCTTTTTCAGTTGACGCGGTAGCCTCAGATCAAATCCTGTAGTCTTGGTGAATTTACTGCAAATATCCTGGACGTATATCCATAGATGGCGCACGCCCTCCTCTTCAGCTTCTTGTTTTGCCTGCCGACAGGTACCTCTGAAGCCAATCCAATGGGTCCCGTCTTTGTTACGAATTTGACCAAGCGTCATATGATCGTAGATTAGGTTTCGGACGTCGCGATTGAGTAGGCTAAAGAAGTAACTGGTTTCGTTCGGGCCTTGTGCGGGAGGGGCTGCATCTTGTGGAATCATGATGTCAGCGACGCGACGGGAGGTCGGTATGGTGATCGACGATGTGGTTGTGATTGAAGACTGAGCTGTAAGTCGACCCGAGCTTCGAAAGGCTGTGTGTACGGTCGAGCTCCCACGTGTGGTTATGGGTGTTTATGCAGGGGACGATCGAATCGAAATCAGGGCAAGGTCTTGAATATATATACATTAGAAGGGTACTTGATGGCGTGCTCTAAGAAGCTCGAGCTCGAGCGTCGAGAGTGAAATATTCGTGTAATCAAGGGGCCAATCGCCTATTTCCCTGCCCGGCTGCCCAGTCTTGCTCTGAGTCAATGCTCGATTCGCATATACTTACTCCTCAATGTGGATCACTGAAATGTCAATATTGAGTCCTTGGTGTAAGCATCGTGTGTGACGTAAGCGGGAGTAGGTCAAGGTTGGTATGTGGTATATGTATTCATCGGCTTTCATAACTCGTACAGCTTCGTCTCTACCGGTATCGACTCCAGTATTCCGTAGCTCAATCTCTGTTTCTGCTTGGACTCCACCTCTTGAAGACGAACTCTCGAACTGTGTACTTCTTTAAAATGCTACCAATGTCAAGCTTGAACCCATCCAAGCTCATATAATCCGCATCCCACGGTGCCGGTACTTCAACGTAGACCAGCATCAGTGTCTTCATGACCTGGGTTTGCACTCGGTTTACGCGATGGAACCACCACCAGTCCCTGCGCTCCTTTTCCGCGGCTCTGACTTGGGCTTGACCGTCCGTTTGCTCGGTCCAGTATGGGGCTGAGTAGGAAGGAATGATCATGATCGCAAACTCGGCATGTGTGAACGCAGGACCGCGAATGTAGAGCAAGTAGTCGACAGCGAACTTGACACCAGGCCGCACGACCCAGCCCAGGGATCGGAAGTGGTGAAAGACAACGTATTTCATCAGGAAAGGGTTGTCAGGCTCAATAGGCGGAATACACGTCATAGCAGGATCCACTCGAGTAGCGTCATTGCTCATACGGTACGCAGTACGAAGATGCGTCAAAGCTCTTTTGAGATCATCGGATTCGCCAGAACTGGACGCATGGGCGCAGTATACACGCAAGAGGTACCATGCTGGGTAGTGTTGTGCAAGATCCATGGGAGCCTGGGTGTCCACGTTGACGACTTGCAAAGCACCAAGGACGTATGTCAGGAAGAAAGCCTCCTCGGGTGTGAGCTGAAGATGCTCAAGATCCACAATGTCAACCTCTAGATCAGCTTCAGCGTCGGCCGGTGCGGCAGGGCCATCTGTGTTTTCATTGATCGCCGGAGTTGCTGTTGCATCTTCTGGCTTGGTGATGTCCTTGGCGTCGCTACCTACGAGCTTGTTGATGTTGGCGTCGGATACGATCTTGCCTTCTTGCCGTAGCTGTTGCTCAATAGCCTCGCGCTGCGCCTTGGCTCTCTCTAACTTGAATTGTCTGCGCTCTTCCCGCCTTGATTGTGTAACCTCGGTGCTTGTCTTGGACGCCTGGGCACCTCGCCTTCGCTTTTCAGCGACTAACCACTGTGGTTCACTTCGGCTGAGGGACCCTTTGCCCCAGAAGCCTTGTTCCCAAAGAGCTCGGATGGAGGCCGGATCGGTGACGTGGATTGACTCGGTCTCTGCAGAGTAGTATGCTCTGTGGATGACGATGTGTGACTCGGGCGACCACAGCGACTGCGAAATCAGGCTGATGAATAGTCGCACGATGGAAATGGGGTTGTGCGGGATGAAGGCAGGCAGCGCATATACGTCTAGTGGCAGAGGCTTCGCATGTATTTCGTTATAGTTGGGTCGTTTTGGGCGAGGTTTCCTCGAAACACCGTTGGCTGGTTCTTGGTTCGGCTGAGGTAGACCCTCTGGGCGCTCCTCGCTTGCAGCAACAGCATGCTCAAGCTGCTGAGTCGAAGACATGCCTCAGTCCAGCTCGATGTTCGACGAAACTGTACTCGCGTTAGTCCTGCGCGGGTTTTGAGGCAATGTGAAGTGTAGCAAGTAATGTCGATCAGATACCGTTGTAGTCTATTGTAACGGAAACAGCATCGAGAGCCAAACGCAGTCAAGTGAATGCATGCGCCGGCAATCGTATAAGTGAAAAGTTGTCATCATAAGACAGTGAAACACGTGAAAGGGAATCGTTGGTACTTACCCGGCCTTTGCGACTTCAGGTAATGGCGTCGTCGACGAGCGTTGCGAGCTTCATGGTGGAGTGGTGCTGAAGGTGAGAGGAGAGCGCAAAAAGTTTGGAGATGACTGTTTGCCAAGGCCGGATTTGATTGGCCGTCTTGGCCGACCGCACAGCAGTCCAGTTCCTAACACACGACAGCCACCGTACCACTGGTTTTTGAATGCGCGTAGCGGTCGTTGACAGTCGCACACAGTATATGCTTCACGATACCCATAGACTGCGGCTGGGGCTTGTGCTTGCCCTAGGAACGCCTGTTGTGACGTAATAAGAGCAGCTACCTCCGAGAAAGTAAAGAACGTCTTCGTGACGCCACGCGAAAGCGATTAGGCATCTGCACCTCTTACACGAATAGTTCCTGCCTGATCAGAGACTTACTCCAAACATACAGCAGCTCTAGATATATACCGAACAGCTTTCAAGATGCTGCCAGCGGCAAGATGGTCTTTACGACTGCCACGCCAGAGCGCTCGATCAATCACCACGAAAAGCATACCACGGCTAGCCCTTCGCAGTCGCCTACCGCGCAACACGACGCCGCCAACGACCTCAGCATATTCTACGAGACCACCTAGCAACGATTCCTCATCAAACACACATGATGGGGCCCCCAAAGAGACATCGAAAGTGGACGCCGTGTCCAACGCCCTCTCGACCACGCCCGACTCCGAGAACAACCTCGTAACGCCCGTGTACATGCCCGAAGACCCGAACGCCGTCCTAAAGCAGACACACCCCGCCATGCGTCTTCTGGACAACTCGTCTCTTATAGTACAACGGCAGCTGGAAATGATGAACGTGCTCATGGGCTTCGAGCAAGCGAACCGCTACGTTATCATGGACCCGCACGGTAATCATATTGGATATCTCGCCGAGCAAGACCATGGCATAGGGAACGCCATGGCGAGACAGATGTTCAAGACGCACCGCAGCTTCACGACTCACGTCTTTGACCGGGACGAAAAGGAAATACTAAGGTTTCATAGACCTTTCAGCTGGATCAACTCGAGAATACGCGTGTATGATGCGGTAGGGCCCGATGAGAGCACCTATACCAGCTCGGCAAGTCTGCAAGGCACGAGTGTCAAAAGCATAGCCAACCAAACGAGCGCAAATGTCTCAACTTTGGCACTCCGAGACATGAGGATTATCGGAGCTTCGGAACAGGAGTGGGCACCATTACGAAGGAAGTACAACCTGTATCTCGCAAGGAATCTCGAGGACGCCGCCGCAGGACCAGACGCGCCCCAACTGTCCTCTGGTGACCTGCCAATCTCAGACTCTAAAGCCGTGGCAGTAGCAGAAGGCGATACCCGAGAAGTGGGCATGCTCCAGTTTGCCAGGGTTGACGAACCCTTTTTGTCCTGGGACTTCAGCTTGATGTCTGAAGACGGGCGGCTAGCGGGTTCTGTTAACCGCAACTTCGGAGGCTTCGCGCGCGAAATATTCACTGATACGGGTGTTTATGCGTTGAGAATGGACGCTGCCGGGCTGGCAAGTGAGCCGTCAGGCATGGTTTCCAAAACTGGTGAGCAGAGCCGACCATCACTAGAAGACTACCCTGGCATGACCCTTGATCAACGCGCCGTAATGCTTGCTACGGCTGTTAGCATCGACTTTGACTATTTCAGTCGACATAGTGGTTCTGGTGGCATGTGGCCAATGTGGATGCCATGGGTAGGTGGCAGTGGTGAAGCCGCGGGAGGTGCTGCAGCTGGTGAAGCGGGTGCTGCCGGTGCTGGGGCCGTAGGTGCTGCTGGCGAAAGCGGTATTGCAGGTGAGGTTGGCACTGCAGCGCGCGGACTGGGAGCTGGAGAGGGTGCTGCGACAGGTGCAGCTACAATGGCGGGCTACGAAGCTATGCAAAGAGGGCGAGAAGCCAGGCAACAAGAAGACGATGCTTCCCCACAAGCGACCGATCCGTATCAGCCCAACCCCGATCAACAGCCAGGTACAGGCCAAGTCGGTGAAGATGTCTGGGGCGAAGATCCTGGCGTCGGATCTCGGGGTCAAGATCAGGACTTCTGGGGTGGACAGGGTGGACAGAGTGGTGGCGATGCTGGAGACGGTGGTGATGGTGGTGGGTTTAGCTGGGGTGACTTTTTCGAAGAGTAAGGCTGTGCCGCTTCTTTTGTACCACCATTGTATCTTGTAGCATTGATACCATTTTAGATAACAAGCTCTATTGCTAAGGCAATCGTTGGGCAACGCGCTCATATACGTTTCTCCCGTAAGTCGGTTGAGTAGAGAAAAGAGCCCTAGATACTAGTCTGCGGCTGAGGTGGGGCTGTGCTAAACGGCTCAGTCCTTCCTTCTTCGTTCGCTTTTGCCTTCATACACGACTTCACTCAATCGCTTTGCGCGTCGTTACCTTATTTTCTACGAGGCGCTAGATCCAATTTGAGCTCAACTCTAGGCTTATCTTGGTACCGGAGCATACCATTCAGTCTTTGATTGATGAGGTGGACAAGCCCGACAACTCAGTCGGCAACGCAGCGAGAATGCCGCAGACATCGGACTTCTACAGGTATAGAGAACTGGACGGATCAAAGCAGCAGATCCGTCTCGCAAGATTGTTGCGATCTCAACCTGTGGCCAATACGCTATACAAGCGCGACTTCATTTACTGCGAACTTGAGATATTCGACATCAACACTGCACCCGAGTTCATCGCTCTGTCATACACTTGGGGTGGACCATCAGATAATAGGTATATCGCTATCAATAACAAGCTGCTCGCTGTTAGAATGAACTTGTTCGATTTCCTTTCCGCCTTTCGCTCAGACGGAGCCAATACCCAGTACCTCTGGATCGATCAGGTAGGTCCTACATCTACTTGGCTATGCATGCATGGACTAATCTCATCACTCAGATATGTATCAACCAACAGGACACGGCGGAACGTAATCATCAAGTTCGCCTAATGGCTCGAATTTACTCCGAATGCATCTATGTCATTGTTTGGTTAGATTTGTCTTCGTTAAGAGCAGCGCGAAGGTACTCCAAAAACAGGAATGCCGAGAATACTGAGGCTATCCTGAGAAACCGTTACTTCACGCGTCTATGGATCGTGCAGGAAGTAATGTTACCCAAAAAGGCACATATCCTGTGCGGTCACGTCTGGATGGACTGGGATGTCCTCTTCAAGGCTGCATTGTTTGCTGGATTTCTGGAACATCCAACTCTGTCGCCAATGACGTATTTACTTTCTAATCGTTATGCACACGCGGAGCCTGTTCGACCTGGGTATTCGCATCTACTGTGCAATCTACTACGTCAATTTTCTAGCATGGGCTGCGAAGACCCTCGAGACAAGCTATACGGTATGCTCGGCCTCATCTCTGAAACGCTACGGCCTATCGTGGATTATTCGAACACCAGGGAAGACGTCTACCTTGATGCCATCAGAATCCTTGGTCCATTTTTCTGCATGGACGCCTCGAATTGGTGGTGGCAGGACTTACCATTGAGAATGGGTGTCCCGTTGGCTCATGTTGTATCGTTGCAGCCTTTCGTCACTGGTCTACTTGCTTGTGGACAAAAAGAAAATAAAGTTGACCCAATATGGACTTTGCAAGATATGGGCTTTGTGAAAGCAGATCGAACGCGTCATTATCCGGGGCGATGGTGGTACGAGTACAAAGGCGTACGACATTACCACGACTGTATTTCCTCCAAGGACGAGACTGCAAGCTCGGAAGCTGCTTTGTGGTCCTTACTTGATGCTACGCCTGAACGAGGCTCGGGGTAACTGGGATACCCCGCATCATCGTCAATCTACCCCGGAAAAGTCCAGCTCCAGATTTCCCGCAGCGCCACCAGTCGGGGGTAATTGTTCCGTTAAACCCACGCTGCCGAAGATCCATCTATACCGACTGCGCCGATATAAATAGTAGCCAAGCTTGTTAGAGATCATTGTGACGATCATCAAGCCTTCGAAAACGTTTTCCGCTCTGCCGATATGAAGCTCACCGCGAGTTCAAGCGTCGTCTTGACACTGTTTGTGCATGCAAATGCTGCCCCCACGCATCCGAAGCAGAAACAAAGCTCTTTTAAATCGCATTCCACAGAATCTCTGATAGCCTTTGGGGATAGCTACACATACGTGCAGGGTACCCTCGGCCATCAAAACTACACCTTCATTGGCGATGAATTCAACTTCTCTTTTACGCCCGCACAGCTCTTCTCGAATCGTATCGTGCAGAACCTTACGGGAACGGCAGAAGGTGGCCCTAATTGGGTGGAGCTTTTGACTGGATGTGGTGTCGAGGATGGTTTGCACAATCCAAGAGAGTGCGACGTTCAGCTTTGGGACTTTGCATATGCTGGCGCGAACACTATCGAGGAAGCTGGATTCACACCCCTTCATCACAACCATACTGTCTCACTCGAACGGCAGATCGAACAGTTTGCCTCCTACGGCAATCCAGCTCTCGAATCTATTCATCTCAACAAGAAGAAAGCGCTCGTAGCGATATGGATCGGCATCAACGACATCAATGACCTTGTATCCACCCAAGGCAAGAACGCATCCTTTGCACCACTCTACGAGAAGATCCAGGACCGAGTTTTTGAGAACGTGGAGAAGATCTATGAGCTTGGCTACAAGGACTTCCTCTTCATGAATCTACCGCCTCTGGATCGTGGACCAGGCACGCCCAATGTCAACGCGTCGCTCGTTGCTTCTTTCAACACGATCCACGCTGCACATGCCAACGACTTTCAGTCCAATCATAAGGACGTGAAGGTGCTTCAGTTCGACGTGAATAGTGTTTTGAACTACGTTTTGGATCATTACCAAGACTACGGGTTCAAAAACGTCACCGACTACTGCCCTGGATATAATCAGCCAGATATCCTAACAAACCCAAGTCAGTATGGATGCACGGACTTGGATACGTACTTTTGGTACAATTCAGGGCACCTGACGAGCCGAACCCATGAAGTCATGACTAAGGCATTGAAGAGATGGTTGCTAAAGCAGTAAAAGAGACATAGACTATCATACGTTCTTAATATCATAGTGCGACATTTGTATCAGGGGGTTATGCCAGCCAATGAATACCGCTACAATGCCCAAACCCTCTGATCACCCCTACTGTCTGACCTTTCAAGCTTGTTCATCCTCCCATACCACAGCCTGAGTGTTGTAGCGATTGCCGCCACCAGGAAGCTACATGCCGCACACACGAAGTTGCCTGTCGGGAAGCCTTGACTTCGCTCGTCGTTCATCCAAATCCATTGCGCAATGATCTGACCAATACCTGCGCAGCTGTTGTGCAGCGCGATTGCGAGTGGCAAGGTGAGGAAGCTCGGCGAGTTGCAGGTCACCCAATTCGTCATGGAAGGTGCTGCAGGGAAGGCACCTGCAGCGGCCATACATAGGCAGCCGTAGCGCTGAACATAGGCGTCGGCGGGAAGAAGGCCAGCGGTCAGCCAGCCAGTACCTCCTATGAGTGATGCGATGGTGATATGCCACCCACGAGCGTTGAAGTGGTCCGCAGAGTAAGAGATTGTGATGGCTACGAAGAAGCCCACGACCCATGGTGGGACAGTCAGAAGTTGTGCATGAATGGACTCGTAGCCTAGTCCGGTAACGATAGTGGGCGTAAAGAACGTGAATGACCCCTGAGGAACGACGTCGGCTACATACGCAATGTAGTGTAGCAGCATGCGTGGACTGAAGCAGGTGTCCAAAATCTCTTTCTTGCTAGCATGTTCCTGATTATATCCACCGCCTCGGTCAGCCAGACGATCAATAGCGAATTTCTTTTCGGCGTTGCTGAGCCACTTCGCTCTAGCTGGGTAGTCGGGCAGGAAGAACCACAGAAGGAACGCCGATAGTAGGGTGATAATTCCTTCGATGATGAAGAGCCAGCGGAATCCTTCAAGACCTGCCGCTCCGTTGATATGGCCGACTCCGAATGCGATGGCGCCTCCGAAGGCACCAGCAAGGTTGCAGAACGCGATGACGAGAGCGATGCGAACAGCCCGCTCGTTATAGCGGTACCAGATCGTGATGAAGTAGACAATTCCTTCGATACGTAATCAGCGCAAGTTCATCAACCTCCATGTCTCATTGTAACACACCAGGAAAGAAACCGGCTTCGAAGACTCCGATCAAGAACCTCAAAGCGATGATCGTAGCACTGTTCTGTACACCCGCAAACCCAATCGTTAAGGCTCCCCAAGCGAAAAGAAGGATGCCGAGCCATCTAGAAGGTCGGATGTAGTGCTTCATAACGAAGTTGCTTGGTACTTCGAACACGGCATACGCGACGGAGAAGAGAGTGACGGTCAGAGCGTAGCCGTGAGGTGTCAGGCCCGTATTACTGAGCATGTCGTCGCCTGTCTCTGTGTTGAGCACGCGAGCATTACCAATGTTTCCTATTATTAATTTTAGCGATTGACGCGGGTGCTGAGATGGTAGGAGATGATGAGGACCATACCCCTATCAAGAAAATTCAAGAGATATACCCAGCAACACAGAGGTAGAACGCGTAGGTCTAGTTGCCGGTTGAGTTTCTTGTTGTACTTTTCGTCATAGACGTCTATCTCCCCGTGCTCTTGTAGCGTCTCATCATGGTTTTTGACCGTGTCGATGTCGACATCTTCGAGGTGTTCCTGCTTCTCGGGTTCTATAGGCTTGTCCATGGTGATATTCTCGTATACGATAGCTGAGCAACTCTAGGTAGTCTATTGTGAGCGAAGGTTCTTGCACCTTCCGTATAGCTTTGGTCAATGGTTATATAGTTCAGAATATCCATCTTACTTCGTTATCCCACAGCGGAACAACGCATCCGGATATACCAGTTGCGGCTTTACCCCAGATGTGCGGGGTAGAAGCCCACGTCTTCGCGCTGCATATTCCCTACCACGGAGATGATCCGCGATCCATCCGCTGTGGGACGAGAATGTCGGTGTTGTCGCCGATGGTATTGTTCGTTGGGGTGCGGAACCAGTTTGGCCTCCGAGAAGAAGCCCAGGAAGCTACCCATGTACGTCATCGAAATGATTCACGTGCATCTACGAGGTTCTTGAGGTAATCTCTGTATGCGTTCGTTGCTAGTAATAATATATCCTGATTCCCAGTGAAGATGCTAGAATGTGGGTGCATCCGGTCAAGATGAGGCCTCGAAATACCTAGGTAGCCTCGGAGAGCGCGCACTGAGCACGGGCCTGCTTCCAATTGGATCCAATTTACCCATACGTCATCTCGCTTCACATGAATCTGAGGAGGCCCGGGGTCATCTACCGTGAACTCTCGTCACCATTACTCGTGTTCTCCTACGTTCCTGGCGCGCAACATTAATCCGAATCGTTATCGGTCAATCTATCTAATATGATAATGGAAAGAACCATAACGAGTAGACCTATAGCAACAGTAATCTGTAACGTAAAGGCAACCCAGACCATAGTGATTGCGCTGACTCCGATATCCGTTCGGATATTCCCGTAGTTGGCTGACTCTGCCATTGCAGCTGCACCCACAGATCCCACATGCTGCCACAAACTCGCGATAAGTAGCTGCACTGCAGCAACAAAACTCGCTGCGAGCGCAACTTGTGAGACGGGACGCGACGGAAAGGGTCTTACATCTACGTCAGACCCCGTTCGTTCATCTCGCTCTTCGTGCCACCCCGGAAATGTTGCGAGAAGCAATATAGTGACAAATGCGAGGACTACAGCAATGAATAGAAGACCGGAGAAGAGAACTTCGTTCTTGAACTTTGCAGCAGCTCCTATCAAGTTCAGCGGGTCATTTTCGTACCCAATTTGCTGCGCCAGACCATTATGGTCGGAGCTACAAAGCCAGACGATACCACGTTGGCGCACGCACATCCCAAAGTAGCCCGCTCGGACTTCAAGCTCGGCGGATCCTTTCAGGCCATTCAATGTGTCAAGCAACACATCATGACCTTCAGTAGTGCGTTTCGAAGTCGAGTTCGTATACGATAAACCGAGGACGTAGATGTTTGTCATGGTCGAATAGCTTGCGCACCCAGCCAGAGATATTGCTATGGATACAGTAAGTATGATACTAATCCATGAACTTCAGATCAGTAGCTTACAATTCAGTACAATCACGACAGTCAGCAGAATCATCAACATATGATGATAGCCGAAGAACGGAATTAGTCCTGTTGACATGGTCAGTTTAGACAGAGAACTATATTTTAAATTGACTGACTTTGAAAAGACACTGCAAAGCGTAGGTTCGCCATCGCTACCTCGGTATTCAAGAATCACGCGCTTAGAGCTGATTCACAACACGCATCTGAAGTATGGAATATCTGGCTTTCAAGCTGATATTAGTTCTTTCATACAGTATATGCCGATGTGCAGGTTCCAATTGATGTGGTGTAAATTTCCTTGCGGGAAGTGCGGCTCTCGACTGGTTTTTAAGCCGCCCCGCAGACGTTTTGGCGTATGTGTGATACGTCGCATGCATGTAGCTGCACGCACACTGCACGACTGTGCCACCAGGCGCTTACCTCGATGCTGGACAGCCCGACGGGCTTACCTCCGGCCTCGCATCAGTGATACAACCACAAACTCAACCTGCATCCATGCAGAACGCCTACCTATACTTCTTCAGCCGCACCTGAAACTAACAGCTACGAACCACGATACAACAATGGGCATACAACGTCTTTCTTATTGATGCGCGGAAACGCAGAACACAAACCCTGGACACATTAGCGAGCGCCAAACAAGAAAATTGCAGGGGTCAACATTGCCTTGCCGGTGAACACGAGCGTGGGTCGTAGGCGCAGAGATGGAGGACGACCAACAAGCAACATGTGGTCATGAAAGGAGTTCGGAAGACAGTGTATACAGTCCCAAAGATTCACCGGGTTACACGCGAGACGATGGGCCAGCACTTGAGGATTTGCAGCAGGACAATGGCCAAAATGACGCTCACCCACGGGCAGACTACAAGACCAAGGACGGATCGATTGATGATTGCAGTTCTGGACACTCTAGAACTCCAAGTGCAGATTACCGCGGTAAGATCTTGACGAGTTCCGCACCATCTCTCATCCTTCAACAACAGGCAAGACCCCGCACATCACTAGATGATCTACAGACCCGCCACCCGAGACGATTACCGTCAGAGTGCCGGACGACCAGCGCAAGCGCAATCACTCTACCCTCATCTCGTTCATCTTCAATAGATCAGCCGTCCATCCGAGATCTATGTCGGACTAGCGAACCCAAGTCCGTGGAACGATCAATAGTGCGACCAGAACGGGCAGCTTCTTCTGGGGGGATGCGCGAACGTGGGAGAGCAAAGTTCCGAGCAGATGCAGTCTCCGAAGAAGAAGCGATAAAAAGAGAAGAATCTCCGAAAGTGAAGGACAGAAACGCGAGGGATCAATTCCAGCAATCGCGTTCACCAGAGCGTGAACCAATCAGGCAGCGACCCGAAGGCGATGCACCGCGACGACCAGAGCTGAGCAAGCTCTGGAAAGCAGTCTTAATAGCATTGGAGTCAAGCGGGAAACTCCGACAAAAACCAAAGCAGCAACAACAGGAGGTGCAACAGGCGGCGAACAACAATGAGGCAGAGATCTATCGCATGGGTCTGCTCACATCGGCCAACCGCTTTTCGAATCTACATCATGCTAGTGCCGTAACTACACGGCACATTTGGAGTTCACACATCATGTTATATGATATACTTGAGACACAGCAGCCTAGTGCCTCTACTCTCCAAGCTCTCTGGCCTGATGCACACTCGCGTTCGGCACCGACATATGAGGACTTCCGGAATACGTTAAGGCGTACTCCAGCTCGGTGTCATCTCAGAATGATCTTTGTGGAAGATCTAAATCCTTCATTGATTGATTACCTGGGTGCCACCTTCCAAATTCCACCAGGTGTGTTCGAAAAACATTTGGATGGGTCCGGCTTTGCAGGCGAATCATTCGATGACAAGAAGCCAGCGCGGTGGTTGAATCACTCCTCTAGTCCTGATTGTTCTTCGCTGACCTGGTTCCGGCCTGTAATTCCTTTACTTCCTGTGGCTTCAAACTTCCGCAGTCAGCTGCTCAGCAATCTACGTCCGAAAGTCAATTGCATGCTTGAAGGCTGTGGGAAGGTTCATAAGTTGCAAACAACTGCTAATATCTTGCGTCGCAACGTGAAATTGTGCCCAAGTCCCGGAGCTTATGTAAAGGGCTCTGACACCGAGTACCCTATTGCATGGGAAGAGAGGGTAACAATATTTACAAGGCGGATTGACGGCTGTAAATTTGGTATGCGAAGGGAATTTCCCAAATGACTCCAAAACTAGTTGCAAATATTCTGACGATGCCAGCTATTGTGCTACTAGATCCGCTGCCCTTCACTAGGGTTGGATGGAGTACCAATCAAGACCAGCAGAAGGATGTCGCTCGTTCCAAACTCAAGATAGTACGTGACAATGCTCCGAACACGGAGGAACCTCAGAGCCATCGCATTGAGAGCTGGGCTGCGCAACAACGCCCTCTCTCTACTGCAGCTGCGCATCCAGAATCGGCAAGATCTTCGCTCGCATCAAATGTAAATGTTGCAGTGGATGATCCGCTACCACACGCTGGTTTACCCGATACCCATCCCTGTAAGTATGAGCATTCTCTGGAGCATACATGTTTTCGCAACGCCGCACAGAGAGCGTATGAGAGACTTCCAATTCGTACCTCTCACGTAAATCTTGTTGGCAATCAGTCGTTCCACAGAAGCATCGACTTTCAGATCGCACATGTAGACGTCAGGAAACTTTACCGTGATCACGCCCAGTTGATTCACCCAGAAAGACTAACAGCTTGTTAGTCGTCCCAGCAAAAAAGCCTGCGGGTGTAACATTTCTGCACTCATCGGCGGAAGCTAAGATGAGCCGTGCACATGTCACGGGCGCTACAATTGACGCTGTAGGAGCGATGTCATCAGCTCGACAGCGGAATACGAGATTCGCCATCGAACGGAAGTCAAGCCGGAACCGCAAAAGTGGCATCTCACCGACTAGAACCACACACAACACAGCAGACAAAATCGATCTGAATCGGGCAAGGAGTAACCATTCCGAGCACCGAGCCCACGATTATGACCGGGTAATTCCATATTATCCTATCAAAGCTGGATCGTCATCTTCCGCGATGCTCGGCGACACATTCACCACGCTTGATATGCCATCGCACATCGAACGCCTCCATATACCCTTCTCCGTAATAGGCGAGTTTCAAGCTGCTTTGCAGCCGACAGGAAAAGGCAAGGAAACGATACACGGTAAGCGTCTCTGTACGATACGCATGAGAGACATACACTGACCTCGTGATTCTACTATTAGACCCACTCCAGATACTGTTCAGAATCATTCACGATGATTGTCATAATCTGACTGATGTCATACGCGATTCATTGCATTGTATACGCCAAGACATGCTGGATGAAGATGTCATGCAACAGCGGGTTACATACTGGAGAAAGCTGCTTCATCGCTTCAATTCTAGCCTTGCGGATGTGGACCAGCAACTGCGGTCCTTGATACACTTTCAGAACGATAAGGAACTTTTCTACCTTGGCGGCAATCAACGAACCGAATTACCATCGGAAAGACTCGCAAGAGACACGAGTCAAACCTTGAGGAACAGTCTCAATCTCGTCGAGAGATCTTCCACAGCATTGCTTACAGAAATGCAAATAGTTGACAGCCGACGAAGCATCGCGGAAGCTGAGAGCGTGTCCAAACTCACCGAGCTAGCATTCGTCTTTATTCCGCTGTCCTTTGTCGCAAGCCTGTTCAGTATGCAAGTCAAGGAACTGAGCGACGGAGTGCCACTTTACGTCTTCACGCTCGCTGCCATAGCCACTGTCTTTGTAGCTTACGCTATGCGCCTCAGTATTCGCAGCTCCCGCCTCATCGAATATAAGACCCAGATCTTAAGTCAAATTCACGCTGAATCGCACGTCCCGCACAATCAGCCAATACCAACACGCATAGTTTTAGGATGGTTGCACAACACTATCAGCAGGTTTCTATCGGGAACGTCTACGACGGTCTTCGCTGTTGTCTTCCCATTTGTGCTCGTGGGAGCGCTCATAGCTACTCTTCTTAGCCCTATCGTACTGCTTTGGCTACGTGGGATTGACAGAGGCTTTACCGTTGTGATAACTCTTCTTTTAGTCTCTTCGAACGCGATACTTTTCATCCCACTCGCGAAATTTGGGTACCGATCGCTTGGCACTAGTCCGATGAACATGATCCGTGACATTCGAAGGTGGCGTAGAGAGAGTCAAAAGAGAAGAGCCAAGTCAAAGAAAAAAAGAAGATATCCAGATCCAGAAGCTCAAGCTCGATCAGGAGTTAGTGGTAGTAGCGAGCGCGTCAGAGAACACGGTTCCAGATCTTCGGAAAACAACTTGAGCCATGCTACCAGTAGAGCGTGAGACTCATCTGCTACTAGTTCATGATAGATATGCGGGCTGTGAAACCCAGTCTACGATCGATAGCCCATCACTCAACGAGAAACGTTCCATAAACATGCAACTCATCCCTTGTCCTCCATCTTCCTGCTACGAATATCTTTTCACCCTCCCAAACGTGTACGCCCAGCTCCTTCATACCACCCTTTTCCATCACACGCTGACTCGCTGGGTTCTCAGAGTTGACAATAGCTCGTAGAAAGACTTTTTCGTATGGCTCCCAGAAAGATCTTTCTTTTTTGCAAGCATCGATGAGTGCTTTTACAGCACTTGTTGCGTGACCCTTACCCCAAGCAGAGGGTAGATAGCTATAACCAAGTTCGACGGTGAGACATTCCGGTTCGAATGAGGAAGGAGGCAGAATGTCAGATCTCAAAGTGAGGCTCCGATCGCCGAGAGATTTTACACCGATATGACCAATGAAGCGAGATGGAATGGAGTCATTATCTGCGCCATCGTGTCCGGGAGACAAGAGCAACTCGTGTACGGCATAGGATACTCGGTATGACTTGGTTTCGCCTTCGCTGACCGTGACTGGCAGGGCGTATTTGGTGAACCTTTCGGTGTCTTCGACGGTTTTGGCGATCCCGTCAATGCTGAGCGGAATTAGTTCAGTCCCGGTGTACATGACGCACGGTATATGGTTGACTGATAACAAAAGACGGGACGACCTACCTCCAAAATGCGGCCTTCTCGTCACTGCGTAGTTGGTGTAGCCACTCAAATTCTTGGCTTCCTCTCTCTGCTGCCATAATCCGCGTCAATTTTAACTGCGGTGTGAAGATTGCGTGATCCATAGTTGTCAAGTGCTGTGGGAGGAGATTTCTAGTTCTCACAAGGCCTTATCAACCTCTATATTACTCTCTGTTCAGCCTTTGGAGGCTGATATACATCGGAATAGACTAGACGAAAGGTCCAATCGGCATTCCTTAAGCTCGGTAATCACTAAATATGGCTTAGCGTAAGACCTCAGCTGTCCACGACTGGTTTAGTTATTCCGATGCTTCGTGACTCTTATATCTGTACACCTCTGGAACGAGGGCCTTGTTCCAAGCACCAATGAGAATCGGCCGCGCAGAGTGCTGACACCCAACAAAAGATACCTTCACCGCGGCTGTTCCGGGATCACAGTTCGTGCGAATCAGACGGCTTTGCGCCTCGACACCATACTTCATGAAGCTAGGCAGCGGTATGCTCACTGTGTGTTCCAGCCTACAAACATGCAACGATGAGTCAGTCGCTGACATGATCGGCTTTGCTTACTATCAAGCTTGACGCGACCATGCCGTGACTACATGCAGAACCCCGTACAGCATATAGCGCTTTATTCTGAGATATGTTGTGATAGCGGTGGGTATATCCCGTACTCAATCATTCACTGGGTACTAAGTGCTCGTACTCAGGATCAGTGCAGTCATTGTCGTATGATTGCCTCTTTGCTGTAGATGAAGCCTCGGACGTGTCGTGGTCTCGTCTTTTTGCTCCTGCCTCGCTGCCTTATGTGTGGCTCAGTTGGGACAGTCTCGGATGAACTCAAGGTAACAGGACATATGTCTAACAGTTGGTCATCAAATGATATGATGGGACGTGAAAGTCATTGATGCAAGAAGACGGCCAAGATGTGGGATGCTAGCGCCACTCATGTCTTGGCATTCCCGAATCGCCGACCGAACTTTTGGCACTGTCGCGATGAACACCTACATCCGCATCAGCACCAATGGCACACCCACGATCGCTACTAGCTCCTCTGAGCAGACTCACTATATCATCCATTGTCGCCTCGAGATCAGAAGTCCCGCGCTTCGCTTCAATACCGCATCAGACGATACGATGCGCAACCACAAAAGCCCAACCCAAGAAAAAGAAGAAGGCGCGGAACACGTTCTTGCAACATGACTTGAAGAAGGCAGAGAAATTCTCGCTTATAGATGCAATGCAGTACGTTCTATTTGGATCATGTACAAGGGAGTGGGAAGATCGAGGGCTGACGGTAGAACAGATATATCCGCGCCTTTGAAGTAGGCCGCAACCCGTCTTCCTCCAAATACGAACTACATGTACGCCTACGCACACTCAAAAACGGACCCGTCATACGAAACCGATTACGACTCCCGCACCCTGTCAAGACTGATATACGAATCTGTGCCATCGCCGCCCCCGACTCGAAACCCGCTGCTGAAGCACGAGCAGCTGGTGCTACGCTTGTAGGCGAGGACGAGGTTTTCAACCAGATTAAAGAGGGGAAGATCGATTTCGAGCGGTGCATCTGCCACATTGATAGTCTGCAGAAGATGAACAAGGCGGGGTTGGGAAGGCTGCTAGGTCCCAAAGGCTTGATGCCGAGCACAAAAGCAGGAACGGTCGTTACGAACGTGGGCGTCACTGTCCGAAATATGACTGGTGGTAGCGAGTACAGAGAACGTCTGGGTGTGATTCGTATGGCAGTTGGACAACTGGGATTCACGCCAGAAGAGATGCAGAACAATATCAAGGGATTCATGGATGCGATAAAGAAGGAAATGGCGCAAATGAGCGATCGTATCACCAAGGAGATTCACGAGGTGGTGCTTAGCTCGACGAACGCACCCGGTTTCACATTGAGCGGGGACTTTAAAGGACCGGACTCCATATCACCAAAGGAGTTGAGTGGGCCTTTGTAAATGTAGCTTTCTGGGGTGTATGACTAATGTACCATACCGAACGCCGTCGCTATGCTGGACAATATCGTCTCTTATGGTGACTTGAGTGTTTTGAGGACCTTGACTGCCTCAGCAGATTCCTCCATGTCCGCGTATATCTTCATAATTTTCATGACGCGACCAGCATCAGACTTGTTAGCAGTCTTGGCCTGCTGCAGTGCAGTACTCAGGTCCATCAACAACGTACTCCGCACCTTTGCTATTCTGGCCGCCTGGGCTGCCACGAATGGATGCTCACCCAGCTCTTTCTGCAATGCTAGCACCAACCGGTAGTGCACAACATTCCGCCTCAACTTGGCGACCGACACGCCGTAACCCTCTTCTTCCTCGTCTTCATCTTCCTCGTCCTCGCTATCCGAGACCTCTTCTCCGAGGATGATCGTCTCGTGCCCCGCCGTCTCAATCAAAAGTTCAGCCTCCAATTCTTTGAGTCTAGCGTCGTAGTCGATCAGCCGCCTCCCCAAGTCAATTTTAGCCCTAACATCTCTCCTTTCTTGTAGCAACTCCCCGACTCCTTCTTCTCGTTTCCCCACCACACCGGCCAGGCCGTCAACTTCCTTCCTGAAGCCCAGCAGTCCTACTCGCACCTCTTCTACCTTTTCTTCGCCGCCGTGTAGACTGTTTCCCAAATTAAGGAAGTCTTGGTAGTTGCTGTTGACGAGGTCTAACAGCTCCTTTGAGAGAAGCTGCGATCGCGACCGCAGTTCCGAACGCAGGTCTTCGAGCGTTTGGTGTCGGTTGTGGAGCGTAGAGAGATATGTTGCCGGTGAGAAGTTCGGGGCTAGGAAGTCTGACCGGCGTAAGGGCGTCGCGAAGGGAAGGGTGGAGAGGTTGTCTTCGTCGTCATTATCGTTGTCGCTGGATGCGGAACGCGAGTCGTCGCCGAACTGGAGGACGTGGGTTAGTCGCAAACTCGCGTCATCTCGCGCACGATAAGGAAAGGCTCTTGGGGTTACGCACATAGAAGCGACTCATAGTTGTTGTCTCAGCTCCATGTGGAGGGTCCTGCGAGAGGCTGTGTGTGTTGCCAGAAGTCCAAATAGAGCTATCGATAAGGTTGGGAGCATCGGAAATGAACCGAGGCCTCGGAACTCGACACGCATCTCATGGTTTGTAATGCACGCCATCTAGCGGCGTGGGGCAAAGCAAAGCGAAGACGTCAGTCGCCTTGCCTTCAGTAGCATTTACCCTTGATCTTGTATCTGAGTTCCCCTAGAGTCTCAATACTACCAATTCGAATCTTTCTTTCTCAGCATAGTGTGCAAGGCCAAGAGACGTCATAGTATACCAGACGATGCCACCGCAACCTGAGCTTCCCGAGCCAGCGCATCCAGAAGTAGATTCGATGCTGAGCCGCCGATTTGGAAAAGAGGTGGCCAACTACTTCTCTGGTACCTAGATAACCCACCTATACCCTTTCTGCAACCCGTTACTGACATGATTATGCAGGCTCCCCACTCAATCGCGTGGGCTTCCTGCGTCCCGACCACCAATTCCTCTCATCGGCACTCAATCATCCCAGCACAACCTTCTTGCTATTCAATAAACTCGAGCCCCTTACAAAATCTGGGTCGGAGCTCGCCCGCTGCACCTTTGCCGACGTAAAACCACTCATCGGCGAGAACCCGTTCGAGAAGTCGGAGGAAGAAGTCATTGCGCAGTACAACTCGAGCTTGTACGTTCCGCAGATAATCTTCTTGGGTTTGGATGAGCGGAAAGATGGGTTCAAGTACAAGGAGCATTACAAAGGACAACCGTGGTTCGCCGTTGATGTCACACCCAAGGAGAGTGTGAAGGAGAAGGCAGAGGAGCTGCTGGAGCGAATGACAAGCACGGGCTTGGAGTTTAGTAAGGGTAGAATGAACCTGAGTCTGCAGGCTGAAGAAGGTGCGTTACCATTGTTTCATTCTGACACGTCTCCTCGGTCCTTGTCTAACACTCCACAGCGGCCATCTATGCGGAAGCCCGACATCTCCTCGATTGGAACGAACGAAACCCTTTCTGCGCTTCTTGCGGTTACAAGACTCTCTCTGTCAACGCCGGGTTCAAGCGCACTTGCCCACCCAAAGACATCGCGTCCGAAGTCCACCAAGGTGAACGCCCACCCTGCGCGACCCGAACCGGTATTTCGAACTTGTGCTTTCCTAGAACAGACCCCACAGTCATCATGGCGGTCGTATCTGCCGACGGCACAAAGATCTTACTAGGGCGCCAGAAGCGCTGGCCTGCCCACTTCTACTCCACACTAGCTGGTTTCCTCGAACCCGCAGAGAGTGTTGAAGAAGCCGTACGTCGCGAAGTCTGGGAAGAATCTGGTATCCATCTCGGTCGCGTTGTTATCCACAGCACTCAGCCATGGCCTTACCCTGCCAATCTCATGATTGGCGCAATTGGGCAAGCCATTCCAGATGGAGAAACGATTCACCTCGGGCATGACGCTGAGCTGGAAGATGCGAAATGGTTCACAGCAGACGAAATCAGAGAGGCGCTTCGCATTGGTACTAGTGGACTTGGAGATGACGCTGGGCCAGAGTATAAGGAGGGTGGACTGAGATTGCCGCCGAAGACTGCCATTGCAAACCAACTGATAACGGCCGTAGCTAATGGATTTGCCAGCGGGAGCCCCATGATTTAGATGCGCAGGCTCAGCTGTAGATGGACGTTCTAGAGGTTGCATTCTGTACAGTGTAGTTGTAGTACAATATAGAGGAGATGATCACGCGGACGCGTGTTTTGTTGTACATTCATGTTATTGCATTATGTATATGTTTCTGGTCTACTACTCCAGTACGATGTATCGGCGCAACCGCTCAGGTATCGCATCGTACAGCTTCTTCTGTTCCAGCCACTTCTTTGAGAAGAGGCGATCAGCATATCTGTATGCGCCATCGCACAGCAAAGTGACGACAGTTGATCCCTTACCCATCTTCTCTGCCACTTCCTTGGCTGCCACAACATTGAGACACGAACTTGCGCCTAGGTATAGACCCTCCTCGTCCAGACATCTGTATACCATCTCAATGGTTTTCTCGTCGCTAATGTGTACTGAGCCATCCAAAAGGTCGATATCAGGTTTCAGGTTCTCTGTCACGCGGCCCTGGCCAATGCCCTCTGTTATCGATCCACCAGCACGTTCCTGAAGCTTGCCGCCACTCTGGATGTAGGAATGCAGTACCGAACCTGGAGGGTCAGCTAGGAAGCTCTTGACCCTTCCGCCACTCTTCTCCTTTAGGTACCGCGTAACACCCGCAAGCGAGCCTCCAGTGCCGGTGGCGCAGGTGAAAGCGTCGAGCTTTCCACCTGTCTGATGCCAGATCTCGGGCCCGGTAGTCTCAATATGCGCCTGCCTGTTCGCCACATTGTCAAACTGATTTGTCCAAACCGCGTTCTCTAATCTATCCGCATGTCGCTTCGCCTGGTGGTTGTAGTTCTCCGGGTTGTCAAACGCCACTGCTGGCACCGGGTATACCTCCGCACCGAGTAAGCGCAACAAATCAATCTTTCCTTGCGATTGCGTGTTGGGCATGTAGATTACCAATCGGTATCCTTTTGAGCGACAGACGTGTGCGAGGCCAATACCAGTGTTTCCAGCGGTGCCTTCGATGACAGTACCGCCAGGCTTCAAAAGGCCCTGGCGCTCGGCGTTCTCGACGACGAAGAGGGCGGCGCGGTCCTTGACAGAGCCACCGGGGTTTTGGAATTCGGCCTTTCCGAGGACATTGCAGCCGGTCTCTTCGGAGAGGCGCTTGAGGCGGATGAGGGGGGTTTTTCCGATCGCTGTACATAAGGGTCAGCATAGAGTCTCTAGGTATGCTGGTCAAACACGGTACCATCCAGGAAACCCCGCTGTCCAATGCCTTGGGCTTGCGAAATGTTGATGGCGGTCTGTTGTGCAGCCTCTATTTGGCTGAGGCTTTCAGCATTCCGCCATGCCGTGGCGGCGAAACTCCGCGCTGCTGTCCTGAACATTGTTGCTTTACAGAAAGAGGCAAACAAGTCAGCATGGGAAAGTTGGAGTACTAAAGATTCACGATGATGCCATTCGGCTGATCGGCGAATCAACGCGCTCTCACCCGATGTCGCAACTGGTGGACCCCTGTCGTCCTGAGACCCCTGCAGCCACGAGTTGTTGCCGCGTGGGGTCACGGTAAACAGTCGAACAACAACGCCCGCATTTGCATGTCAAGACCTCGCGACACGGCACGCAACTAACGACCTCGTCAACATGGTCGGCCGCACATCGACACGTGCGCCGCGAACATCGACCTCCTCAACGACACGCACCACCAAGTCCACGCGCGCATCGTCCGCCAGGCAGTCCTCGAACGCAGTCGAAATCCCCGATGAGGGCCCCGTCACCTCCCTCCGAACAAAGATCGCCCAGGTCTTCAGCGATGCGCAAAGAACGACTGCAACACAAAGGAAGCTCATCGTAAACCTCAGGAAGATACAGGAAGCATGCTGCTTCGAGCCACCAGACACGGGCAAGGGCGGGAAGAAGTCCAAGGGCGAGGAGCAGGAAGACTTTGATGAGGAGGAGTTCAACACCGAGGTAGTACGATGTGTACTGAGGATTATGGCTGTCAAGAAGAGCGAACCTGTTGGAGACAGGGTGATTCGTTTCTTGGGTCTATTCCTGAAGCATGCCTCTGAGAAAGACCAAACCATATTCGCTGCCGAGTCGGAAGAAGAAGCCACAGCATTCCACGAAACGCCCAGCAGTCGGCTGACCTCGAACATTCTCACCACCATTCTCGCCCTCCTGACGGCAAAGGACAAGACGGTCCGTTTCCGAGCCACACAAACGGTCGCGCACATCGTAAACAGCCTTACAACCATCGACGACGATATATTTGACCTGATAAGATTGGGTTTCTTGAAGCGTCTGCGAGACAAAGAGCCGACAGTGCGCGTGCAGGCCATCTTGGGCTTGGGCCGTCTGGCTGGTAATGATGATGAAGAACAAGACGACGAGGATAGCGACGATGAGGCCGCTGGCGGTATCCTCGACAAGCTTCTGGACATTATGATTAACGATCCGAGTGCCGAAGTGCGACGCGCTGTTCTGCTAAACCTACCGTTGTGGCCATCCACCCTCCGTTACATCCTGGAGCGAGCTCGAGACATGGATGCTACCACTCGCCGATTAGTCTACGGCAAAATCCTACCTGCGTTAGGGGACTTCCGCCATATGTCTCTTGTCGAACGTGAGAAGCTCATCCGATGGGGTCTCCGTGATCGAGATGACCTTGTCCGCAAGGCTGCTGCCATCCTGTTCCGTGAACGCTGGCTCGAGGACTGTGCCTCTGGGCGCGATACCCGACCAGAAGAGGAGCAGAAGCCAGGAGATGTCGCTCCGCCAAATCTAGAAGCACTTTGCGAGCTTCTTGAGCGTATCGATGTCACCAGATCTGGGGAAGAAGAGGGCATGGCACACGAAGCGATGCGTCAGTTTTGGGACGGTCGGCCAGACTACCGCAAGGAAATCACATTCGATCATGAATTCTGGAACAACCTTGATGCACAGACGGCCTTTATTGCACGCACACTGAACGATTACAGTCACAGCACTGACGATGAGAGAGTGCGAAGCATGATCGAAGACAAGATGCCAGAAGTCACCATGTTTGCTTTTGTCCTACAGAGAGAGCTCAATTCTCTGATGGAATTGGTGGACAAAGTTGCTGTCCTGGAAGAGAACGACCCAGAGACTGAAGAAGCGCAAGAAGACGTCGAGGAGCAAGACTTCATTGTTCAGCAACTGCTCCACATCGCTCACACCCTTGACTATACAGACGAGATGGGGCGTAGGCAAATGTACAACATCATGCGTGAAGCCATTGCCAAGGCTCAGCTGCCGGAAGAGTGCACTAAGCTCGCCATTGAGGTATTGCGCAAGGTCTGTGGAGCTCGTGGCGAATCAGACTTCTGTGCTCTCATCGTAGAGGCCATTGCAGATGTCCGCGACTCTTTACTGGATTCCGACGATGCTACAGTCACTGGCGAGGACGCTGAAGAGAGCTTCCATTCTGCGCAATCTGATGCCGAAGGGGATGCACCGTTGATCAAGCCCAAGACCGCAAAGGCTTCCGAGAACCTCACCGAGGAAGAGAAAGAAGAGCGACAGATCCGCGAAGTTATGGTGTACTCAAAGTGTCTGCATATTGCTCAATGCACACTTCAGAACGTGGAAGGCGATCTGGAGTCAGACACATCACTCACCAGCATCCTCAACACACTCATCATTCCTGCTGTTCAAGCTCATCAGGCTATGATACGAGAGCGTGGTGTTATCTGCTTGGGTCTCGCAGCCCTCCTTAGCAAGGTAAGTCAAGGAGCTCATCACCACTCATGGTGTTTTACTAACAAGAAGCAGGACCTCGCTGATAACAACCTCGATCTCTTCTTCCACTGCTTCATGAAGGGCCATGACGCCCTCAAAGAGATTGTCATTCAGGTTCTGACAGATGTAATCATCACACATCCTCAGCTTCTCACACCTACCATACCAGACCCAGATGCATCGACCGAAGATGCAGAGCCCATCGCAAACCCACGAATCCGCCCCGTTACCAAGATCTTGCTCAAGGCTTTCAATTCGGACAACAAGCGCATTGGCCTGATCTCTTGCACCGCAGCCTCCAAACTTCTCCTCTTGGGTATTCTGCCGCCCCTGTCGACCACCGAAGTCCTCAAAGCCTTCACTCTGACGTACTTCGACCCCGAGACGGCATCGAATCCTGCTCTGCGGCAAGCACTCAGCTACTTCTTGCCCGTGTACTGTCACTCCAAGCTCAAGAACGCAAAGCTGATGGGTGAGATTGCTGTGCCAGTGATCTCAAAACTGCTCATCATGCGCGATGACAACGTCGAGGACGAAGATGTAGACGAGATGGTGGGCTGGCCTGTCATCACTGCCCATCTTGCCGAATGGACCGATGGGCGTAAGGTCGTGGGCGCAACCGAACTTGGTCTCGACGGAAAGACAAGCACCATTGCCGAAGCTGAAGAACCGCACGTCCAGCTCGCGATCGACATCTTGGAACGCGCATTGACAAGTACATGCTCAAAGGACGAACGAAAGCCATTAATCTCACTGTTGGGCAAACTGTTCATCGCGCCTTCTGGCCCAATTCCCAAAGGAGAAGAGGGCGAACTCAATGAGGAAACCTTCCGCACTTTACACGAGCTAGTGTCTGAGGCTGTAGAAGGAAAGATCGGCACTGACGCTACTCAACGCAACGCACTGATCAAGTTGGAAGCTACGCTCACTAAGCGACTCGGCGAGACTACACAAGTGCAAGACACTGATATAGAGCGCACAGCCACACCCGAAACGACTGCTGCTGCCGACGCAACGGAAGTTAACGAGGAGGAGACAGAGGGCGATGCTACTGAAGTCTCTGCGTCGCGGAGTCAGAGGAAGTCTAATGTGACGCAGGTCGACGACAAAGAAGAGGAGGAAGAGGAAGAGGATGAAGACACTATGCTAGCGGGTATGCAGGGTGAGGGCACGCGTATGCCTCTTGAGGACGAGGATGAAGAGGAGGAAGAAGACGATGCTGAGTCTGAGGCTGGACACAGCACATTGACCGTTGGCAGGGATGACAGGAGAAGGACACAAGTGACTGAAGATGATATCATGGAGAGCTTGTTGCAGAGCGAGATGGATCACTCTGCGTAGTCTCTTTGTTTCTCTTTCTCGACCTCTCTGGGTTGATGGCGTTACATGGTACCATTGGCCTCTTCTCGGCATGTTTTGTCTTGATCACGAAGGAGTTCCGGTAGTGCGCAACGAGTTCATGAATGCAGAAACGTCTTATGATACTTCTTCTCAATCGTCCAGTCACTGCTAGACGTACTGCGCGCTCTGTGTTCATTTCAGCCTCAATTTAGCATCATCAACCGCTCATTCACATGCATCAAGATGACCATCGTAGAAGGGTACTCATTTCCTCCTGCACTTTCGAGAGATCATTATATAGAATTCAAGAGGGGGTATACTACAAACTGCTCCGGAAATGACGCCATCAATACCCTTCGCCAAAATATACTCTCGGAATCATCACGTAAACTCATACCAATCATCGTAGACCACGATCTGGTCCAAGGCCAGTTCCATCATCTCAAAATGCGTCAAGACCATCAAGAAAACACCCCTTGCACATGCGCCAGTACTTTTGTACATGTTTCACTCCTGCTGTTCAATCTGCATCCCTCTTCCGTTATGACGTCCCATAGTCTGCGCTCAGCGTCGTATCCTAGGTCTTCCGTCATGTCTTTGTTCGGTCCCCACATCCTGTGCGGACTGTCGTCATCCCCATACACTCTCTTATCGTCTAGCATCTTCCCCGGGTCAAGCTTGAGATTGTTTTGATGCAGGAAGAGGATCGATGGTTTATGTGGGGCTTTGCGTATCCTGTCATGTCCCTTCTCGATCTCGGTATTCGGTTTCGCAAGGTCGCCGTCTCGCCAGAGTGTTTCGGTGTGAATATGGCTGCGCATTGGAATAAGGTATTCGTAGTCGAGTGTCGGGTCTGCTTGCGCGATGCCGGTGCCCCTAAAAGTGCCATTCATATGGTTGCCAAGAACACTGGGGGGTGTCTGGACTTGGTAGTATGGCAGGCCAACTGCGAGTGCTGCCTGTACAAAGGTTTCTTTGTCGCCAGCACCAGGGCTGCCTTGGCTAAGAAGGATGTAATAGTAGTCTGGACCGTAGTAATTGTAGTACACCATCATGAGGAGCGACGCGCGGTGGATGTCTTTGTTGATGAGAAGCTGGCCGCTCTCGGTAGAAAGCCTCGATTGAGAGGCGACTTCTGGTATCGCGGCGATATGATAGTAATGCGAGGATATCGTCTGAGCCCAGAAGTCGGGCCAAGTGACTAGGCCATGAGTCGTATATGGTGCGGCGGAGAAGAGTTTGGTGGGATCCTGGGTCGGGAATGCGTCGCTATCAAGGAACAGAACATGCTGGAAGGATGAGAAAAGGATGGAGAAGATCTTGTACTGGTAGTGATTGGGTGGCTTCGCGTTTGTGGCTGTGTCGTAGATGTTCGATAAGACAACACACCGGGCGTTGAGGGACGGTAGGAGGGTGTCGCATATCTCCGGGTCGTACTTTGTCCAGTCATCAATAAAAACTTCCATGGGTAGGTCGCAGCCAGTTCTGCGCAGCATGCGCAGCGACACTAGGAAAATCGGCATATAGAAGATGTCCGCAGTGGTGACAATCCCTGTTGTGCCTTTGGCAAATGGTAACTTTGGTGCCAGAAGTTGTGCCCATCTACGCATGGTATAGTGAGACTGGAATAGAGCAGTCTCCTCTTTGTCGGTGAAGTCCAGCAACTTCTCAGGATGCGCTTGATGTGGTTCGAGAGGCAGAAAGTTCTTCACCAGTGCATCGCCGTCGCCTTTGAGGCGTAAGGCCTCGCATTGCGGCTGCGACTCAATCAGGGCCGTGACAAGGTCCGACCAGAACTCTCGCACAGGTGCGCCGAAGGTGGAGCTAGCGGCAGTGAGGTTTTTGCCCGTCAATAAAGGCATATGCAAGGCATTCGACCCATAATAGCCATGTGGGAGAAAGAAGATGCCGCATGTAAGAAGGAAGAGCGGGATGACGATGAGTCGCGGTATCGAGGGGACGGATACGAGCATAGTCGCGGGTGGATTGCTATCGTCGGAGGAAGTCCATGAACGTGGATAATCGGAGTGGAGGACTATGACAGAGGAAGACCAGGTTCAATATGAAAGAGAGGGGTGAGAGGGCGTTCAAGTGAAATTACTGAGCGTCAGCATTGCGTGAAACCTGCCAAACCAATAGAAAAAGGTGTGTGGCGTTGGTAAGATAAGAAGCTACGACCCGCTCATGCAAACGGTAGGCAACGACAGTGCGGCTTAGTGGAGGCACAGTCCATAGACGGCTAGAGTCCATATGGACGATGAGTTTAACCGGCCTCGCGAGATGCATATTGACTGACATTACAGCCCCTAGAGCTCAGACACAGCCACCGTTTGCCCCGTCTTACTCATGCGAGTGCATGCTTGTGTAACGTGACACGACGTTGTCAGCTCTGTGAGCGGGCTCATACGCGCCTTCTGTTGCAGAGCGACCTTCTGCGTAGGGAGCCCTCAGAGCCTTGGGGTGACGGCCAGGCCGCCGAGACGCGATAATTCAGCCCTGTGTTGGAGTGAAAATCTAGGAATAGAAATCCCTAGTTAGACGCATAGCGTGATCTGCGGCCTCACCCGGTGGCTGGAATTAGGGGTTCACAGGCTGGACCCTGCAACTAACAAGAAACGGTCGCTCGCGTATTTGGGCGTTATCGATCGCTCGCCATGCTTGATCGCAGCCTCTTCAACTTTCAAAGTCTGCGCCTTGACGGGACTAATTAGGCCTCGAAAGTCCCAAGATTTCGAGGTAAATCGTTCTATTGGCGCGTTATAAAGAGACCGTACGGATGGTACCAAGGCACCCGAATCTGCGTGGCAACTAACAAGCGCTGCTGAATATTACCGGATACGAAATTACGAACGGCCCAGGATCTCTTTCAGGACATCGCGTCATCCAGGCGCTACGCCGTGCTACTCAGCTCCAGTTAACCCGAAACAGTCGTTGTGCTGAAAAATGTTTACACATGAACTGTAGTGCCATGTGAAGAGGGAGACCTCAGCGCAGTATTGACCACAGCCATCAGGTGCAAGCCAATTTACGAAGATGGCTACCATGAGACGAGGGAATTCTGCAATCACGGAGATACTGTGGAGATTGGGAAAGAGTCCAATATGTACACAGGAGACAGGGGCGGGACGCTCATTTCGCGTTCCAAGGACACAGTGCGACGCGCCGCATCAGTGCGGGCGACGTATGGTGAAATGCTGTCCACCTCTTACCATCAGCCGCTCTCTACTGGGAAGACCGTAACATGGGCAAATGACGTGTAGGGTGTTTGTAGTTCCTCTTGAATCCGTGCGCAGACTACAATCTAAGGTATGTAGTAGTCTTGTCGGACCGAGCGGGGATCAGCCCAAGCCGCCAGACATCATAGTCTGCCGTATTTGGACATTTTTAGATACACGTGGATGGTGCGATGTTCAGCCACAACTAGCAACGTCTACAATGTTAATGGGATCTGTATGGTTGGCCACCGTTGTTTGGTTGGTGCATGTCTACGTACCATGGTGACCTTATCTGTAAAACTCAGTAGTTTTGCTTGGAGCGAGATTTCAGCAGGAATGCATTCAGAATCGTGACGGTCGTCCGGCTGATGTATGGCAACTATAGAAAGGTCCCGTTCGCTTTCCATATTCGATATGGCACGGTAATACTCACCACATCAAAGGAGCTTGCAGTCGTGATCGTGTTGCCACTACCGCACGCAAAGCAATCATGACCAACACGTAGTGAGCAAGATGGATTGGAAATTATTAGGGCAGGTAAGCAAGGTAATTCTATGATAAGTACAAAAGACACGAGGCTAAGGAGCTACCTCTTATTCCGCGCCTTGATCGCCGAAGCGATGTGTTCAATTTGGATCAGGTAAAAAAGAAAGAAAAGCAAGGCATATGGAAAGAGAAGCTCACAGCCTAGACATCAAACGAAATGATCGACCATGGAATCCAAAAGCTCCAGCAAGCCCGTATGCCGCCGTCCGTGTTGTACTTTTGTCCATCCGCCCCGCTTTTGAAATGAAATGCAAGTCGATCCCCAAACACCCCCATCCTAGGTATCGAACTCCGTCAAATGAGGTTTTCCGTCTATACGCATCCGAGCCGTAGGTAGCCTGCAAATGCCACAAATTCTTAATCGACCGACGCTGTCCAACTCCCCAAAAGCCAATCTTGCTCACGCCAGCCTATCCGAAGAAACCATCCCATATCAAATTGCACCGCAAGATCCACGCTCCAGATGATCGATACCTATTTCACGAGAGTCTTTATGCTGGTGACTTGTTTGCGGGGTTAGAAACGTTGCGGCGGTCGTCGTTCATAGAAAGAGACCCGAAGCCACTCGAAAGGAAAGCGAAGGGATCGTTGCGACCATCACCACCGTTGACGGCACCCTGGCTGGGGTAGGGGTCGGCAGAAGAGAATGCGGCTTCAGCTGAGCGACTGTCGAAGGGAGTGGAGTGCATGCCGCCGTTGGGCACGTACTGCGCACCCATAGGAGGGTAAGGGCTAGCGGCGCCCATACCGGATGGCAGAGCGTAAGAGCTCGGAGGACCGCCGTACTGTTGAGCTGGGAAGCCACCACCACCGTAGCCAGCTGGACCGTAAGGACCGCCGCCGGGAGTGCCACCCATGGAGGGAGGTCCCATGCCGAAGCCGGAAGGAGTATCCATGGGCGAAGGGAAGGCAGAGTCAGCCACCACGGCGGCACCTGCACGGCTCGCACCGCAGCGGAGACACGCGGTGTTCTTCGCGAAGTTGTGGTATCCACAGCCGTTCTCTCCGCACTTCCAGTCTCCAGCCCTAAAGGGCACAGCGCCGGTGCCACCGCGCATATGTCCGCCACCCATTCCGTGGCCGTGGCCATGACCCATGTGGTGTTGAGGGGGGCCCATCATGCCAGGGTGACCACCATATCCGTAACCGCCGTAAGCCATGGGATCACCACCTGGTGGGCCCTGCTGCATGGCGGGGAAAGAGCATCGGAAGCAGGCGGTACGACGCTGGAAGTTGGAGAAGCCACACGAGGGGCAGTTCCAGTCACCGGGACGAGGACGATTCTTGCTAGGAGGGAAGGGGACGATGATGTCGCCAGCGCGGTCAATGACACGGCTTGAGGACGGCGAGACCTCGATGGCCTTCTCGTTTAGAGCGCGTCCGTTCATGCAGAGCGATTCCGCAGCCTATTCAATGTTAGCATATTAAAGCGCGAAGATTGCTGACGCAGTACATACCTCTTCGTGGGATGAGAAGATCGCAAAGCCAGTTCCGGTGGGCTTGTGCTGGTCAGGAGTGCGGAGGGTCCAGAACGCAATTGGACGTCCGCCAAATTGGGTAAACCAGCTCTCTAATTCCGACTGCGTAGTGTCGTGCGGAAGGCCGCTCATGTGCAGAACCTTGCTTCGCTCCGACAAGAAAGCGCGAACGTCGGCGCGGGCATCCATGGGTTTAGTCAAGACGTCGGGGTGGTCCTGGGGTGGTTGCGACTTGCGAATAAGACCGCGAAGCACGCGAGCAAGCGTGACAGCCTCTTCCATGGCCCGGCGGGGCGAGGCGGGCGCGAGGGCTTGCAAGTGAAAGGGCAGGTTGTGCTTGATGGGGGCCGACGACTGGACAGGCTCCACCTCAAGCGCCGCACAGATGTTTGTCAAGGCGCTGGAGCCAAACGGAAGCGACTCTGGGTGGTGTGCCTGCCACCTCTGGTATTCTGTGCGGAGGTCGAAGGTGCGGGAGTGCTGTAGGTAGGGAGGAAGAACGACGGCCTTGTCGCGGGCTTCGCGAGGGAGCTGGACGCGGAGGTCCCAGGAATCTAGGGTCACGAATGCGAATTCGAGGTTCTTAGGCCCGATGTGCTCGTTGTAAAAGTTACTGAAACGGTCGACGGCGTCGCGGAAGGAACCGGCGTTGCGAACCTGGTCCCATGTGAGGGTCGTCAAGCTGGCTGTGCAGGGTTCGACGTCAGTGGAAATTGCACAAATTGTGGACCGTAGAGGTGAAGAGCAAACTTACTGCATAGGGCCGTGATTGGCGTGTTGACCGGCTTGACGAGGACCGACTCACGATGGAGCTGTTGTTGAGTTAGCGATTGAAGTCGGCATTGGATCTGGCAGACATACCTCCTCGCACGACTTTGCATCGAGCAGGATCCAACCGAGCTCAATGACCTCGGCAGAGTCTTTGGTAACATACACGCCGTGCTCGTCGCAGGTGGTAGCCACATGGATTACAACGTAGCGGTCCAGGTTGGCCGCCTGGGGGCTGGGGGTGGGTTGAGAAGCCATATCTATGTTGCTGAAAGGGTCAAGATTAGTCTGGTATCCTTGGGTATCTCAGAGCTAGCTGGCAATTGAGGTTCTTGAGGTTCGGCGGGCGACGTCTGTTGGGGAAGGAGGTACGACGGTCGGCGGAAGGAGAAGGCGCGACGGGCGAGTACGTCAGCGGGGAGCCCAAGGTGAATGGTGAAGAGGAGTGGGGAACAGCTGGCAAGCTGTGAGGTCGTGAAGGGGAAAACGGAGCCTCGAGGTGACGGAGGATACGGTGAGATGAAACCAAATGCTACGAGATGGGGACGGACGACCTGAGGCTCCGTGCAATGATCCCGGGCAGATTTCTTGACGTGGATAGCAGAGCTAAGGCACAACTTCCAGATCTTGGCGGGAGCTCGACGTTAGTCCGCCTAGTGCCGGGCATGTCAGAGCGATGTGGGATATAGTGTGACAGTGCTGCAATTGCAATCTGTTCACGGGTTTTATGCTGGCTGAGACTGCAATTGACGTTTCTCTTACCCTTACTTGTCCCGTAGTTGTCCTGCAACGTCACGAAGCAAGGCTAATTTCGACGTCGTCGCTCCAAATTTCCAGACGCAAGACGGCGTGCAGCAGGCCATGCCACGAGTACGGCGGACAGCAGCTCCCGCAGCCGCTCGGCAGAGCTGTCTGTACCCATCTGAAACACTCTCCGCCCTCTGATCCAATGTTCCACGCGTCTGCTGGAGGCGCTCGCGTGTGCTGCGCCTCGACCGTGCCACGTTGTGCCCCCATGGTGATATTGATCGATACCGCGTGTGCTCGTCCTGAACAGCTGCATTCGAGTTGTGCTTTTGCTGCTCGCCGTGCCGCTTTGGGCCACCGAGACTACTGCGTAATCAGGGTCCAACTGGCCAGCTGGCCCATCGTGACCGCGCGACATGCCCTCGTCTTATACAACGGGGCGGCGGCTGGCAGAGAGTCAAGCGCCTCTAAGTCCGCCTCTAACGCCGCGCGCATCCCGCCCTCTACGACACCGCCGCGAGGTAGTCGCTCTTGTAGTAGTGCACGCCAAATCTGTACCTAAACATAAGTTCAGGACATGCAGAATATCGCCGTGGCCCCCTCCGCTCATGCCGCTTGGGCTCGCCATCCGGGAACCCCTGGCGATCTTCCCATTCCCGCGGAGCCCTGGAGCTGGGGCCAGGCTCACGTGACACGTAGGTTGTCGCCCGCTGCTCGTACCGCCGAACAATGAAATGGGGGCAGGAGGATGATGATCTTCGAGCCTTGCTGACACGTACAACAAGCACTAGCCCTGTCAGCGCGCCGTTGGATTCTTTGTGCGGGAAGTTCCTAACTGCTTGGGCCTGCCCCTTAAACGCGCTGCTCCCTCTGCTCTGTCCATAGACGCTCGAGCACCTTCACTGACTGACTGTTCTCCGCAATTCGCCTGCAATTTGCAGTTTATGCTCTCCAGTTTCGTCCCGGGCCCGCTCCCACGTACCGGGGACCTTGCACCTGCATTACGGCTTTGGCAATTACCTGGGTCTGGCTGAGGCTTGTTACCAATCCAAGCATGTCTTCTCGGCAACGGGGATTCACATCTTCCCCGCAGCTTGCCAACGGACGCGAGTTAGTATTCACCTATCCACTTTTGAAACAACGGACTGCGCTGCACCACCTCAAAAGCAAATGTCCGACGCCTACATGGAATCCGTCCCCTAATACCTTTCCAGTTCATCGCGAGGCATCATGGGCTTCTTCAAGCGCTTCCGCCGCCAAAAAGCCTCCAAGAAGAGCGAGTCGCGTCCGCGCAACGACCTCTACGCCCCCGCAGTATATGACTACCACGGCCCCGACCAGACGCAGCGACTGCCCGATAAGGTCCTCCGCCGCATCTTCGAAGAAGTCTGTCCGCATTCGGCCGACGAATCCCTCGACGGCAGCGAGGACAGCGGTAATGACGGCTGCATGAGTTGTGACATGCGCGACCTGGCACATTGTGCCTTGACCAAGCGACAATGGTACGGTGTTGCTGCCGGTCTCCTGTAAGTCCCACATGCTCAGTGCACCAGGCTACTCCCTAACGTGCCCCAGATACAACAGCATTCGCATTGACGCCGTCCACTATTGTGAGCTCGAGGAGGTCTACGCCGACCAGCGCCGGCGCAAGTCGCGAAACGGCGATGACATCGACGCGCCCACGCTCCGTCTGCAGCAGCTGGGCCAGAGTGTGCGTGGAAACCAATACCTCGGCCAGCGCGTGCGCTTCATCAAGCTCCCTTACATGACGCGCGAGGCGTGCAAGGCTGACCTCGCGCGAACCGTATCGGGCTGCCCGAACATTGAGTTCATCGACCTCCCGGACGGCTTCTACAATGGCGATCAGTCGTGTCAATTGCTGCGTCAGGAGCTGCAGGCGCGGTGCCCACACATCCGGAAGATGAAGTACAACGAGGGCGGAGAGCAGTCGCTAGAGACGCTCCTCCAGGGCTACTGGCAGGAGCTGATCTCGGTCGAGCTCAACAAGATCCAGATAGAGCCCAGCATTCTGAGGCAGGTCTTCGGTGTGCTGCCTCACCTGAAGGAGCTCACCATCACCGGCGTCTCGTGGCTCAACGACTCGACCTTCCATGACGCCCCGGGAATCCCCAACTTCCCTGCGCTAGAAACCCTGAAACTCACCAAGGTACACGGTGTCACCGCAAACGGACTCGCACAGTACCTCTACAACCCAATGTGCAGCGGCAGGCTGCGGACCCTCATCTTGAAGGACTGCGGTGGCATTCCCGTACCCTCCCTCCACATCATTCTGCAGGCTGCAGTCACCCTACGGACGCTTGAATACAACGCCACAGTCTCTGCATCTCTTCCTTTGGACCCGATACCACCCATGACGTCGTACACGCTACACAAGCTGCATTTCGAGGTCATATCCAGCTCCGCCCATCAAGCCTACCCGCCTAGTGCATCGTGCTACCAGTACCTAGCCAACTCGCTCATTGCGAACTGCATGCCGGCGCTGCGACAGCTCTACGTGCGCGATCCCGAATTCCCAGAGGTCCTAACGCTCGCGCCACCGATCCGACCGTTCAGCGAGGCACCGCCGCCAATGTTCAACCAGCCCCTCGAAGTCTACTCCAAGGGTCTGGATGAGTTGGATTGGATCTTCACATCCATCATGCCGCCTGAGGCACAGGGACGCCGAGCATCAGTATCAGTCGGGCGGCCATTGAGCAGCTACTCAGCACACAAGGGTCTCGGGCCCCAATGGGGTGGAGATGCTCGTAAAAGTATTGTGGTACCAAATGGATTTGGAGGTTTCTTGGCCGTGCCTGCAGACAACGATGGAAGACCACGGAGTGCGGGACACATGGCGCCTAGTGGAGGCTTCGGACACGGCTACTCCAACTCGCTTGGTGGCAGGGAGCCTAGTCCACGCGCCAGCTGGATGAGCCATGCAGGTCGCGAGAAGCGGGCCTCGAGGGCGGACCTCTGGCGATGAGTCGGGCGACTGCAACCTGCATCGCTCTTGTTCCCTTGCTTGCATTCTTCTTTCACTTCTCACTTCTGGATACCCGTCCATTCTTCTCTTCCTTCATAGGCGATCTTTGTAAGATACCAAGTGGAGTTCTTTTTTGATCTTACAGGGGTACGGTGCGATTTTTGGACGACTCATTGACGTTGGAATATTTGGATGGCACGAACGAAGATACCTTTAACGTGGGACACGGGGTACGTTTGGCTATCTGTAGACAAGAGATAACTACGAAAGCCTCGAAAAGCGGCGGGATCTGGGATCTCGTCGCCATCTACGTATCAACGCATGCGCTTGCTATCAATGCTGTGATGCTGTAACTTGACATGGCGTTTTAATACTACGGGATCACCTGGCCAGCTCTGCATGTGACCACAACTCGTCACAAGGAAAAGAAATCGAATCTTCACTTGCAACACCTACTGGAAGTTAATACCCCAGGAGTCTACGTTACGTGAAGAGTTCGCTTACTTTCGGGTTTAAACCAGGTCTGACTGCAGCGTTCAGATTTTCGCTTGCACGTGGTGATCAAATATCAAGATGAGTCTATACGCCAGAGGGTATCATCAGAAAGATGAAGGGTGATCAAGCAGAATCAGGACTGCGCCCCACATTCTCGATACTCACATCCCTTCCAACTCTCCTCCTCCATGACCGCATCAATCGGACATTCTCCACTGTGAATCGCGCTCCTCACGCTCTCCTTGACCAGACTCCTCATTTCTTTATCTATCTCCTTAACCCACAACTGCCTGTGCCTAGCCCCACATCCCAAATTCCACGTCCCCCTCAAACCCCTCCTCTCGTCTCTCTCTTCCGTGTTCTTCCCATCCCCTGTGTCTGCCCTGAATATCTCCGAATGCCCAAGCCCGTGATGGAATAATTCCGGAGCTACACTCCAACACTTCCAATCTCTGTCCCTACATGCGCTCAACAGGGCAACATCGTATGCCGAACTGCCACCTTCCGGTTCCTTGGAGTAGGTAGAGAGGATCATGGCGGCAGACCGGCGGTTCACGGCGTAGGCAAATGTGCAGAACGGCCAAAAGCTTCTGTGTAGCAACCGAGCTTTTGATGGTATAGATAGAGAGGAGAGAAAAAGAGCGGTGTCTGGGTGAAGGAGGGGAGTGGGCGGCACGGTGGGGTCGCGGTACAGAAGGGAAGGCTGGGAGAGGTAGGCCGTGGAGATTAAGTCGTCGCAGTGGCCGGGGTAGAGGAGGTCCCAGCTATTGGTGGAAGCCCAGTATGCTGATGACGAGTTGTCAGTGGCACTCGTGTCGAGCAAAGAGCGGACAGCGGATGCCAGGAGTGGGACCTGGGATTGCCGGATGAAGATGTCGAAATCAGTGTCGTCTTCGATGATCAGAGCTGTCTCGTGGCTTGAGGCGAGGAACCTGTCGTGTTATCAATACATTGTTCTGTGTCATTGACCTCTTCAAACGGACGTACCATCTCAAAACCTCCAAATGTCCCAACCAGGCTTTCGCACTTCCAG